AGAAATGAAACTGAGCGGAGGCACTGGGTGGCGCCAGCCTGGCTACTCTCCAACCACATAAAGCTAAAACCTGTTAATAAATAAGAATAAAAATTTTGGGCTACCAGCTTATGCCAATTAATTTTGCACCCAGTTAAATGAAAAATAATAAAAATGTTACTGTCACAGAAAATAACTTTCTACCTTTGCTTGACCATTTACCAAACAAATAACCCAAACCAAAAACATGCTACACAGGTCTCCAGGAAGAATATCTGATACCTGACAGCTAAGGTCAATTAAATACAATCAAACAATTAACCTGCACAGGGATTACAGGTGGAAATTAGTACTGGCGCTACAACCTGGTAAAATGCATATCTCCTGTTAAGGTTATGTATATTGTGCACTGTCCCTGTCTCAATAAATAAATAAATAAATAAAGTAAACTTATAGGCTAGTGTAATGTAATAATGTAATGACTAAATCAAACAAGACAGAAAATGTTGTTATAGAAAGGCTTAAACGTACTACACATCCTACTACACCTGTAAGTCCTCAGTCTGAAAGAGGAAGACCGGTTGTAGCATTACCAAAAATCCCAATCCACCAAATGTTAGTGAAGTTTACGCTATGTGAGTGAGGCAAAAAAAATAAATAAATAAAAAATAGGACTGGGGAGGGGCACAGCGGGCGCATATAAGGGCACGTCTCCACAAGCCACAAACCACAAGTGTCTCTGGAGCAAGAAGAGAGGAGGAGAAAGAAAGAGTGCTTGTCTTCACCTCTGATTTCTTATGCGTCTTGTCCGAAGATTTTAACCTCATCATCGAAATTATTGGCGCCCAGAACTGCAGATGGAGGCTGCGAAGTTGCTGATCGTCTTCTTGCTGGTGGTGCTTTTGCAGGTGATGGGGGTGTTCTCCGGTCCTCTGTCCGGGGAGGAGCAGGACGCGGCGGGCGTGTGGAGCGTGGACACATGGCAGGTATAAATACACGAGTTTAACTACTGTACATTGTAATTAATTGCAATTGTAATTAAATAGACTTGGCTACTTACAAGTTGTCGCTCTCCATCGCGCTCAAAACTTAAAAATACTGGACCAAAGTAAAGTTGGACCAGTACGCGTCACTTAAAAATACTTACAAAAAAAAGTGGTAAAAAGGAAAGTAAAAAGTATGCCCATTTTTGTTGGCTATTACTAGTTATAAATAGCCTGGAAAAGCGGCCACATGTGCGACAGAAAATGTTCCGCACTTCCGCGTATTCCGTCAAAAATAAATCCTCGAAACTGACGTAGGACCATAGACTGTTAATAGAAGTTGTTATTATTACAGGAAATACATAAATACCAAACCACAAATATCATAAACTATAATTAATTATGTAATGAGGTGATTGATGAGCGTAATTTGATGACAAAAATGTGTATGTAAAAGTAGAAGCATTCCATGTATTTGACAATTTTTCTTTAGTATAAACATTGATAGTTTTCATTAACACTCAGTCCATTATTTATAAGAAGTCGTAGCCTATTTATTTGGCAAACCACGGGGATTATTGACCCCCAGTGAAAGGTCGGCTCGATTCAGCACCCTGGACAGCGCCCGCAGGTAGACATGTCACCCACTGTGTGTGTGTGTGTGTGTGTGTGTGTGTGTGTGTGTGTGTGTGTGTGTTGCGCCTGTGTGTGTCCAGGACTACCCTCTGGAGCGGGGTCTGAGCATGCGGCTGGCAGAGATCATCAAGCGCTCCAAAGCACAGCAGTTCCACGGGCTCATGGGCAGAAGCTCAGGTACACATCACCATCAGCCACAGTATAAATGTTTTCAGACCTGGATTAGCCGAGGATTAAAAAGTAGTTTGTGTGATCCACAGGGACGTCTCATTCTCTGGCATTGGACAGGAAACCCTCGAATGAACGATGTGAGTCAAGTTTTTATTTTATTCTATTTTGTTCTAAGTCCTTGTATTTAAATTTACATTTTTTCAGCAGCAAAGACAGAAGATTTATATGGTGCACTCATGGGCAGAAGAAGTTTAGGAAAAGGTAAGATGACAGATGACTTTAAGCTTTTTTAGAATTGCAATGTTTAGGTTCTATAAAAAAATAATCTTGATGTAGCAATTATCCGGAAATTTTATCAAATAATATGCATGCCTTTGTCTGTTTTCCAGAATCAGAAGAGGATTGGAACATGTAAAGGAAAAAAAGAAATTATTAACACTGATAAGAAAATTTAGAACAATATGTGTACACATGTATTCATATCACGTTACTAAAAGCTTACCGAATGAGCCAGAGCATCTTTCCCTGTCCGCCTGTCCTGTCTTTTTGTTGATAAAATGGAAGATTATTAAATAAAAAAAATATTTTGTCCACATACATGTCTTTATTGCACTCCAGTGTTCAAACAGAAATGTTTGTATTATTATTATTATTTTACTTTTAGCATGGGCATGATAGAAAGTTAAAAGGTTATAAGGATGTCATCACTTTGACACTGTAAGAGAGTTTTAAATTGACCAAATGGTTCAGTGCAACAATATCCATCATGCAAAAAGGATGTACTGTTTGAAGTGGATTAAATTTCTAAAGAAAATACGTCATCGAAACTATATTGTGAAAATTAGTTATACAAACATTTACAGCTTTCACCTTCCAGGTCTATGATTCATTTTTTGACCTTTTTTAACCAAGACAGTCCTTAGTCTGGTCCCACAGGTGAGGGAGACCTATTGTACATGCCTCATAATTATATAGTCGTCCTTGCCTCAGATACCTTGAGGACATCCACCCCCACACTGGTAAATGGCAAGGCAATTTTATTTGTAGGACACTATTCGTATACAAAGTAATTCAATGCTTTACAGAATAAGAAATACATTAAAATCACGATACAAACAAAGAAAAACATAAATAATCATCAAGCCTGGATCCAAAGGTTGGCAGAGCACATCTTCAGAAAGACAGATTTTAGGTGCATAGAATTGAAATGGTGACTCTCCGTGTTTAGTCCTGACTCTGGGCAGCAGGAGGAGGCTGGTCCCTGAGGGCGTCAGAGTGCGAGATGGTTCATATGACACTAACATGTCACAGCAGCTTTCTGGATGTACTTGTTTGGAGAGGCCAGTGAGCAGGTTGTTACACTAACCTAACCTACTGGAGACAAACACGTGGATAAGTTTCTCTAAGTCTAATTTAGAGTTTAGTTAAGTTTTTGATGTTTTTTAGATGGTAAAAGGTTGAGTGTTCATTGATTTGATGTGGCGGTTAAAGTTCAAATCTGAGTTTATTGCTTCCCCCAGATTTTAGAGAGAGAAACTGGAAGTGACTGCTGACACTGTCTCTTTGTTTCTGTGGGCCAAAGACGATGACTTCAGTCTTGTCTGAGTTTAGCTGGAGAACGTTGTTTTGCATCCACACACTGATCTGTTGTCGGCAGTGACAGAGTGAATCCACTGATCCATATTCACCTGTTGCCAGTGAGACACAGATCTGATCCGGATCTGTAACAGCATCAAAACACAAGACAAGACTTTGCCTGCATCAGTGTTCATGCGAATGTCATTTCTTACCTCGATAAGAGCAGGCTCAGTGCTGTGGTGGGCCTAAAACTTTAGGGCCCTAACCCTAAAACTCTGGCTCTGAGAAACATGCTGAACTCTTTGCTACTTATATTACTGAAATTAAACCAATTTATTGTGACTGAAGAGCACCAAAAGAACAATTCTGCACAATCTCTGTATATCCAATTAGCACTCCTGCCCCCTAAAGTTTATTGTCAATTATGTTTATACAGTAAAAAAAGACATTATTGATCGATGCATTACTAATCCAGATAATTTAGTTGCAAAACATTGTATTTTTTAACCAATAAGAGACTTTAAGGGCTCATATTATGCTATTTTCTGACCTACTTTATGTTATAATGTTTCCTCATCAAAAACATACCTGGAGTTGTTTCATTTACACATGTTTAGTACACGAAACCTGTATATTTAGGTTGAGTTCTTCTCTCTGACTGAAAACAATCTGTTCCACCTTGTGATGTCAAGTGGTAATATAGGAAGTGCTCCACTGTGTTTTTAAGATCTACAGACCTTCACGAGAATCATTTGGATAATTTCAGCTCTGGAATTGTCAATCTCTACTGAATTCAAGATAAAAGATAGATGTTAACTTGAAAACTACCACTGCATGACATCACAAGATGGAACAGAGTATTTTGAGTTTGAAGATGGAGACAGACCAATAAAACAGGATTACCCAAACATGTGTGACGGAAACAAAACCCAACTCCAGGTATAAAAATAACGATACTGGAGTGCTGCACTGGATCAAAACTTACGCATACAGGTGCTCATCAGACAAGAGGGCTTGAATTCTTGTTGAGTATAAAAAAGGATCAGCCCTAATGAAGACTAAGTAGCTGAAACACATTGGTGTGACAACTAATAAATACACCGCAAATCAGAGTGCCTCTGTTATCCTTTTCTCTTCTCAACACAACTCCAGGTATGTTTTAGAGGAGGTAACAATATTCTAACAAGAATATTTTGTGTAATATAGGGCCTTTAAAGAAATAAGACATTTTAATTGTGTTGCCAAAAGTTTGGAAAACATTAGCACCTGTGAAATGCCCCATCCACTCATTGTAAATGGCTGTGTTGAGCCCAGATTCTGGATGGATGTGGAGACAAAGACTCTAGAGGCAACGATTATGTTTAGATTATTTAGATTATGTTAATTTACTGAAGTGTAACATTGTAGTGCTGCTTTTGTTCACTTGTGGGGGTAGTTTATAATAAGTATTTGATTCAAAAGTAGCATTATGGCCACTGTTATGATTTTTAGGTTAGAAAAGTGCCTATCTTGTAAAGGCAAAGACAATAAAACAACTTTGACAATAGCTCTGATTCTCTCCCAAACTATATAGGCCTAACTACCAATAGCATCAACACCATCTCATCTCATTTAACAGTAAATTAGACACAGACACCTTAATAACATGTTCTGCATGTTTTATTTTATGACACAAAAAGTATGAATACAAATAAAAAGAATGATTTTTGATCCCTTTGATTCTAATGGTCTGAGCAATTTCTATGCACATGGTAGATTTGTAAATGCACTTTTGTAAATGTTTCAGCGCACGGACAAATTGCTATATTTCAAAAGCATCTGCTAAAATGATAATGTATGCTTTCCATTCTGTTTAATGGCAAGTAAAATGCAAAATCTATTCTATGTGTGAAATGGAAAAAAATGGCACAGAACACAGAAGAGAAGGTTCACTGGCCACATTATTAGATACACCTGTCTTTCTAAACAAACTGAACAAACTGAGAGGTTTGCAAATAAAAGGCCTTTGAATATATCTGGCATTATAACAGGTTAAGATATATGAATTTAGACTATTATTTTAGACAAGTATATCTAAGTATGTGCCAATGCATGCAATAAGAGTCATCAATGATGAAAATGAATAATGGTGACAATACAAAACAAATATTAACTTTTCAAATGTTGAGCCACAGAACATTAGACCCACAGCCAATGCTTGGCAAAATAAATATTAGGATTGTCCAAAATAAAAAGGTAAAAAGTAAATAAAATATTAAACAAATGAACTAAAACTATCTGACCTTTTTTTCTCAAACATTCTTTCTTTTATCTTTAACAAATTTTACGTACCAAGAATATTTTATAAATAGTAAAAAATCTAGTAAAATGCTCTTTCTGGCTTTATGTGTTTACACAGGGAAATAACAAAACATAGGACTGTTCTAGCTTTTTAAACAGTGGCAAAACCTTAGAGGTAGAATTATATACAGTAAGAATGGAAGCTGCACAAATGACAAAATCCCCTACCAGACTTTGAAATGAAGGAAGCTACCCTGGCCACATCTACATGATGGGCGTTAAATAGGGGTGTAACGATATCCATGTCTCATGATACGATATTGTCATGGTATGAACCTCACGGTATGAACGTCACGGTATGATATTCATTGCGATATCGTGGGAAAGCTCACAATATGGTGGGGAGGCTCATGGTATTACAATATTATACATAATAAGTCATTTGGTACAACATTTATTATCATATTCATATCAATGACATTTTGAACAGCTTGAAAAGCCTTTGAAGTTGAGGTGCAAAATTCAAGTAATAAATAAACAACTGTAATACATCTCTGGGTTGCACTTGAAGTCCACCCATCAGTGGTAAGTGAGGTGCTCTCTGACTGTGTAATGCTCTGTACTTCGGGTAACAGCAATAAAGACACGGAGACACTCACCGTAGCACACTGCCCCTCAGGACTGGCCTGGGGTCTGGTCCTTGGTCCTGTGCCGTCCTCCGAGCGCATTGGTCAGATAGGTCCAGAGGCCCCGTCCTCCATGTGCTGGTTCCAGACAAGGGCGAGTAAGACCAGTGCACAATGAACTGGTTCTGAGCGGTTCTGTGCCGTCCTCTGTGCGCTGAACCCATGCAACGAAAGCGAGAATGCGCTGTGGACTATAGGTCCGGGTGGGCCGCTCTTGTCCTACGCGTTCGAGGACTGTGGCTGGTTCCGAGGTGGTGCAAAACATCCGGACAGAAGTGAATCCAGTTTGGTTCGTATATATATTGTTCTGTCCTCCGTGCACTTGGTTCTTCTCAGGGAAAGCGCTTCTCAGGCCAAGGCACCTAACCACTCCTCGCTCAAACTCACCTGAGCCCGGTCTGAACCTGAGCTGCTCCCCACTGATTCAGGAGTCTGGGTTTGGATCTAGTCCAACTGTAACATTTCTCACACTAGGCTAAATGCAGGGCATTTTTGAAGTTGATCAATGGAACAGACTATTGCCATAAACGTATTTGGTTAATTAATAGCCTAAAATAACAAATGCTATTTGCTACCTGAACACGGCGAACACTGGGACCTCTCTGATGGCCGATGACGCGGTCGCAAACAATTATGATCCATGTAATTTACTGTGCTATGCACCACAGCAGCGGCCTGAAAATTCTTATTTTTGCCTGAAGACATACATTTTAATACCGTGACGAGGCCACGACAATATCGTGGCAATTTTACTACGACGATATCGTGATATCGCCAACATCGTTACACCCCTACCATTAAAAGCAATGGAACAACATTTTGTGTTCTTGTGATTATATATTTAAGATTCTGAAACCTTAGAAAATATGTTTCTAATAATGTGGACAGAGAACATTTGATAAAGTGTTTTAAACACTGAAATCTGGCCAGTGACAGCTATTGGGTTTTAAGCAGGTGAACATTTCTGGGTTTAAACAGCCACTCTAAAATAGTTTTATGAATATGTGCATATATAAGGGTGTATTTTCTTTCTATTAATCTGAAGTGATTATCTTGCACTTGCAACACACAAATTATTTCCTCATGTAGATAATGAACAAGATCAGATATATAACAGACACAGGCTGTTACCTATGTTTCATTATTTTACATTTAAGATTTGAGCATATTGATTGCAGAACCTAATCTCTAGCATGCCACATGTATATAATTGGTAAAATGACCTAAGGCCTACAGTTGTTCCTGTTAAAAAGCTACAGCTCAGATATCAAGAGTACACAGTATGTAAAACATACAAATGATTCACAGTGATAACCAAAGGAGATTCTTGTTTGGGGTAATTACTATAGTAAAATACTAGAAACAAGTCTGATTCACTGAGTGAGCTGTGATGTGATCCTAACAAGAGCTATAACTGTCTGTAAGTGTCATTACCAGCAATGACTGCTGAACCCAGATAGACCGTCATGTTATGTAAAGATACAATGTCTGTGCCTGTGCACGTGTAGGCGTGATGGGTGTCAGAACCTCCTCTACGTTCCTTTTGGAGGTGTCCATTTTAAGGCGGTGGGGTCAATTGTCTTTCCATTCCCACGTTTGGTTTCCTTGGCTTTCCAGTCATCTATAAGGTCCTAAAAGAGAAGAAAGGAAGTCTAGATAAATATCTAGCAGCCAGGCAGTGTCCAGTATGTTATTTGTGTAGTTGTCCTTGTGGTACCTGTCTCTTCAACACCAGGTGCTTTCCTTTCCAGTATTTGAGCATCTGAAGTGACTGCAGTGTGCTGACAATGTCCACAGGGTTCACTGCCGTCTCCTGGCTTATTTCTGTCAACACAAGGCCACATCACATACTGTTGGATTTATATAAAAAGTCTGGGTTTGCAGGCAGGTAGGAGTGCAAAATTCATCACAATGTGTGTGGTAAAATCACCTCAAAATAGCTGTAAGATAACTTTGTTAATAAATTATTTGTTCATTAAAAATTATGATTCAGGCTTAATAACTATTTAATTAATACCCTAACCCCAACTAACTAACTAATTTAATTTTACCCCTTAATTTAGTAAAATAAGCTTTAATTATTCATAATAAACTATTTGTTCATTAGAAATTAAGTTTTTGTTAATGTTTTATTAAGGCTTAATAAGGTGTTTTTATTATAAAGTGGTATCAAAATAACAAATTAAATAATCAAGATCAAAGAGTGCCCCAGATATAGTATTGACTGCATTTTATACCGGTAAATGCACGTTTTAAAAGTTTAATTTATTATTTCAATCTAATACATTTTTTATAAAATAAAGTTTCAATCAAGTTAAACATAGCATAAAGACATATTGACGAAACAAAAAGCTTACTCCCAAAAAAGTTACTTCGAAACCCATGGCCTCAGTCATACTTTATTACTGTATATTCTTAAACTGTAATGACATTTTAAAATAAAAATATTTTTCAACGATGAAGAAATCAAATAGTGTTTTTGCTAATCTCTTTGATATTGATCAAAGAAAAGGGCTTGGCTTGAGGTGGCAATTCATTTTGAAAGCAGAATACACCACTAAAGGAAAATGTAATATTAAAGTTTCTAAATGTATCACTCAGAAATTCAGAACCAGCAAATAGGATTAAAAAGGAAACTAGCCAACATCACTGAAACTGCAAAGTGTGTGTTACAAAAGAAATCTTTTAAAATGTTTTTTTAGTGTATATGTGCTGACCTGTTTTGAAAAACACTTGAGTTGATGTCAAGAGCATTTATCACATTTTTGCACACACAAAAAAGGTGCTTTGATAACAGAGTTGTCCATGAAGCATTTTTACTGAATAATATATACCAAACCTGGCATATGTTCAAGAATTTAAATAGTAAACTAATATACAGAGTATGTGATATTTCAAATATGTTTGCTAGGAAATGGGAGGTTCCACACTGTTCATTAGATTTTTTGAATGATTACATAATAATAATAATAATAATAATAATAATAATAATAATAATAATAATGACTAAACAATAACACATAGTATATGCTGGGCTGTTGAGTCTGTGGCACAAGTAAAAAAAAACAGATCTGGTGTGAGAGGTAAAGATAAATTAAGGACTAAATTAAATCCACTATAACAATAAAACAATTTAAAAAACATATATAATATACTGAAGTCCGCCACACCTTTGATGGAGATCTCTTTGCCCTGGAAGTTGTTGAGATATCGCAGCAGAACCTCCTTCCAGTAACTCCTGTAGCTGATGAGGCCCAGGTCTGACAGGGGGCGCTCTGGAGACCCCACCTTTTCCTCTACTTTGGACAGTAGGTAGCCTAGAGAAACATACATTTATTTAAACACACCTGTATACAGATTGTATTGTTACTCATAGTATGTACTCACTAAAATCAATGAGCATCTTGCCGTAGCCCTGCCTCATGTACTGTGGCATGGTCAAGATACAGGAGACATTGTAGTTCAAGAAAGAGTTCTTCTCCTGCAAGTGCATTGTTCCTTGATATTACTGCTTATTTTTTTGTGTGATGGAAATGAGACAGTTCACAAGTGTCACTAAAAGTCTTAACCCTGAACAATGGATCAGTGTTAAAACTGGGGTGACAAACAACCAAAACCTTTCCGATGCCAATTAAAAACAGTATTTGGCTGTAAATTTCTCTTCTCTTTTTGATTAATCCCATTGATAAAAAGCACATGCAGTATAATTAAAATTTATTTCCGTTTTAACTTTCTTTGGTCAATCATGTTAATCAATGCTTTAACAATCCAACATTAATTGAATATGTCTTGTCAATCTTTTGATAAAACTTGTAATCATGGCTTCTCATTCATTTTAACATTTGGCAAAATGATTATGGCACTATGGCTAAACCACAAACTTTTAAAATGATTTAAAAAATGCCAGTTTCATTTTGTTTATTAAAATATATTGCATCTAGTACCTTGGAGAAGTAGCCAACAAGATGGCAGCCTGTGTTGTCAGCTTCAGTCATAACATAGAAGAGAAATGGTTCAACATCGTAATACAGAGTTTTGTGATCCAGGAAGAGCTTGGCCAGTAGACACAGGTTCTGGCAATAAATCTGTACAGCACAGTTTAATTAATAAAGTGGCATTTTTAAATTACTGGAATCAAAGTGAGATTTTTACCTTGTTCTTCTTGCCATCCACCTCAAACACTGAGATATTGGCCTTTCTGTAGATCTCATCACCTGGAGGATGCTTCCACACACACTTCGCCTTTGGACAGAAGAGAAAAATAAAGAATCATTGGGGATGCACTTTTATACTGCTACAAAGCGATATGATATATCTGTGTTTCAATTTGGTCTTCACAAACAACACATTTCTGTGTTGTGTAGACATATGCTGGTGTTTGGCTTTAAGCACCACATTACTAAAGTCCCTTGAAGGTGTTTTAGTTTGAACTAGAACCATTAAAAACACAGACCTATTGTGTGTGATAATAGCATAAATCGCTGGGAAATACACTGGATAAATAAACAACATAAGATTAGATCAATATAATATAGATTGTATATTTTAAACATAAGATTGTGGTTGTACCTGGATTAGGCAAAATATATTGATTTCTGTTGGGTTAACATACAGTATAAAGGGCAGAGCCTTATCATAAGACAAATGTAAATTACTGAGGAATTAAAAGATAAAATTAAATTAAGCTTAACTATCAAGGATATAATGTATCTTTTTTACTCAGCCTATGAGTGTTATTTGTCTAGTTACTCAAAGTCACTAACACAAAAATGATTTTCATGAACTCTGGTCAAACCACAGAGCAGCCTACCATGTGCCTGCGGAGAATGGTCTGACTCTTCATGTACTTGAGGCAGAACTCGCACATGTAGAGCCTCCCCAGACGGGCGTACTCCTCAGGGTAAGGGGAGTGGTACCAGGTGTCCAGCTCATATCTGCCAAACACGATGGTCTTTATCATGTTGCCCCCCTCTGACACCTGACCCGCCAGTCGCAACTTCTCCTGTGGAAAGACGATGGCACAAAACAAGAGAGAGATGGCTAATAGAATAATAGAAGAGGACGTAACAGAATGCACAGGGAGTTGAAGGTCAGATTATGGATAGATATTAGATTAATATCTAAAAGGCAGAAATAACATCTAAGATTTGATAAAACAAGAAAGTCCAGACAAAGATCCAGATTAATTGTTTCATTGTCCCATTGGTCTGTTTTATGCATATTAAACAATTATTTAAAACTTAGTATGTGACTAGACCTAATAGTACCATTACTATTGTTTTGAAAAATATGCCTTTAGCATTTACAGTGAACAAATAATGCAATGATAAATAGGTGCTGTTCTCTCTCACCAGGTCCTCGGAAGCTCTGGCCTGAGCCTTCCTGAACAGCTCCAGGTCATAGTCACTGGTGATGTTCTCCAGGAGAGGCTCTCTGCAGCTGCCGTGGCTCTGACGGTGCTCCTGGGACAAGAAAAGAACTGTAAATTAACCAATACCACAAAAATGATACTTTAAAAAGATTTGTATTTGAACATTACTATGTGCTTGTCTTTCTGCTCCTTGTTTGGCCCAGTGTTCCTCTTTCGTCTCAGCTCTGTCACTTTTTCTTTGTAACGCAACTGACGGTCTGTAGGTGCCTAAGCGTAAAATGTGTTGAGTTATTACATCTAGTTCCAAGTTAATCTTCTATAATATTGAAAACAAAACACATTTGCATTAAAACCACAAAAAGGAAGGACCAAAAGATACAAAGGATTGGTTTAACTTCACAATATTGCTTAACCCCATTCAGCCAACATTGTGAATTCTCTCACATGTTACCACCAGGTATTTTACTAGAATTATTTTATGTACCTGTGATTGCACAGGCAGGTCACAGTTCTATTTTACCCTTGAGGGAAAAAACATGGGTGATACCTGGTTTCTTGTGGAGTGCCTGTTTTCGTCCTGCCGGTGTGATAGCGCCCTTTCTTCAGCCTGCTTGTCGCGCACTGTAGCTTTGCCCTGAAAAAAAAAAAAAAACCAACAACAAATTGGGTTACTGTGATCCCCCATGGCAATTATACAGCACTCAGTGAGATCACAAGCTGACAACATCTATTTTATTCTTCTTCTTCTGCTTACTTTATTTAGTAACATTTTTAGTAATCTCTATATTACAGATAGGAAATAACAGGGCTTTAGCAATACCTTGCATTCATCAGAAGACAGGTTGTGGTAAAGCGGACATCCAGATATAGAGAAATGCCTCTCATGCCTTCCTGTTAGATGACCTAAAGGAAAGAACCCATTTAAATGAATACATCATCTTCCTGCACATTAAGTTACCATTAATTTGCTAAAACAACTGAAATTACTATTAGTATTGGCAATGAATCCTACCCAGTGAGTTACATCCTGGAGTGGGACACTTCATGTTGAAGTTGTAGCTCTCATGGAAGCGTCGTCTCTTGGGTCTATGGGACAGGTCGTGGGCAGCTGCCTCTTTGAGTGACAGCTCTTTGGCTAACCTCTCATCCTCTGTGATGTCATTTGCAGGACTGGACACCTCAATGTCTGACTCAGACGAGTGGGCGTTACCTGTAGGGGTTCGAGGAGGGCTCTCGTCTCGGTCTGCCCCATGTTTTTCTATGAATCATGAAAAAAAAATTGCATTAAAAATCTTGAGAAGAGTTTAGGTTTGTTATGAGCTACAGAAGAAATTCATTTTCCAGTGCTATACAAGTAATTACTCTGATTTCATTCAGTAGTTCAGAAATAATCAGAATAAAATGTTAATCTTCAGTGGATTCCTTCTGTGAAATACATTTTGAGGAGTAATTTTAAATCCAACATTAGTACCAGTAACCAGTAACATTATGAACCAAGTGTGAAAAGGCCAACCAAATTGTGCAGACAAAAAGCTTTGCTCTAAGAAAAAGTTGGTCATAAATAAATGGATGTTAAAAAATCTTGGTTTTGCAAAAATATTTGTATGATGTAGTACTTTTGTTTCTAATAATGAGGAGGACACACCGAGGAAAACTGTTGATTCATTATAATAAAGAGCTCTTTTCCACCTATGCACCTCATTTTAGTTCTTCTCCCTAGACAATGCTTACACAATATGTTCTCACCATTTGTTTCAGTGTCTGAGCCTGATGACCTGCTTTGGCGCAGAGGGTACTTCTTGGCTGTAGCGTTTGCTGCCCCCAGCTGGCTGCGAGTGATTCTTCGCCCAGATGTGAAGACAGAGGCTGCAACTGGATCTTCTCTTCGGCTCTCCTCTGGTGCTACAGGAGAACTGCTCTGGACTCTGCTGTCTACAAACACAAAAGCATGTGTCAACTGTCTATTTGTAACATAAAAACACATCACAGACTTAAAACCAAGGGGGACAGGGTCGTCTCTGGGGCCGGCCCCAAACTCTGGAACGCTCTGCCCCCCCCACGTCTGAACAGCCCTCACAGTGGAGTGTTTTAAGCCTCATCTTAAGACCCACTGGTACTCTCTGACTTTTAACACCACGTGAGTTATGTGGTCATTTGTGTCTTTTATTTATTTTACTCATTTACTGCTTTTTATGGTTTTGTTTTAATTTAGTTTTAATTAATTGTTTTTACTGTTTTTTTTTTTATTGTTTTAGGACTGGTATAACCAAATCTTAGCAGTTTATCTTTTTGTTGTCTTCATTTTATGATCTCTGTGTAGCACTTTGAAAAACTGCTTAGTTTGTAAAATGTGCTAAATAAATACAGTGGATTTGGACATACAGTACACAAATAAAAATAATATAAATATATGAATGGAGAATGAAGGTTAAACAGGGATATACTATAAATGATACATTTTTGAGCTGTCATTGTTTATAATTCTGTGGCATGGACAAAGGAAAGTTAAATTTAACAGCACCTACTAATCCTTGAATTAGTTTTATATCCATACTCCAGACTGAGTTAATTGTTTTTTCTCCTCACAAAGCCAAATTACAAATCTAGAGAGACAACATTATTTTATTTTTTTAACACCTTTCTTACAACTAGGCATATGAAGATGTAATAAAACTGCAGTTGCATCTGGGAACCTTTGACCGTATAAAATTCTGCCAGAACTCTGTGTACCTTGTGAGCTCCGACTGAGACGGAGGGACGCACGGGTCAGACGGGTACTGCTGCGTCTGCGCGCAACCTCAGCAGGTTCCTCAGCTGAGAAGTCTGAATCCTCTGTGCCATCTGAGCTGCTCCCTGTCGTCCGCTGGAAACAACAATCAGTGAAAAGTCAAAGAATGAACTGAAACATAGGAAAAAAATTATAATAATAAGCTTAGGATGTAGTGCATGCGCTTTCGTTTTACCAGCGGGTAGTTCCACATTGTTCCCATAATGTCCTCGCTTGTTAGAAATACACATTATTGCCCATATTTAACATAGCAAAAAAATCACAGCTCTGTTGAACCGAACAAGTGCGTCTCTACGCCTCTGCCATAACTTTGTCTAAAAAAATAAATAAAATTCACCCGACTTTTTGACGTACAGGTGATTTCTTTGTGGCGTATCCTCAAAATATAAGCATTTTAAGTCTCCATTTATCGGAAATTATGGCTGCCAAGCTAATGGTCTCGCTAGTGAGTGGGGGTTGCAGATAAGAGAGGCTAGTGAGGGGCTCTCCTCAAACCTTCACCCGCTGATCAAATGGGGGGTGGGGTACGGGGACTCCACAGCTGACTCATTTGCATAGAGCCAGTGAAATATACATATAATGCACATAAAACAAGTGGTTACATTCTTTAGGAATAAGACAGTAAATTCTCTTAAAAATGCGCCCATAACTAAAATGTGAATATCCAGACCAGCATTGGGTCCAGTCCAGAGACATTTTTGCGCCTTGGTGAAGCTGCAGAACGAGCGCCTTATTTGCATGTACCCAATCAGAGAAGAGGAAGAGCAAAGCATCAGGGCGGTTGTTTTTAATTCTGACCAATCACAGTGTTGTTTTGGTGTGTCTCAGTCTGAACCAAAGAACAGCCTGTTCCTTATGTTGAATTAAACATGTCTTCTCAAACGGCAGTGCGCAAAAGCTTTTACACAAACGCTTTAGGTTTTACAGTCTGATTTGTGCAAACAGTTTATTGCAATGCCCCAAATACACACGCACGCACAAGTTTAGCAACTTAGCACTACGCAACGCAAATGCTAGATTAGCTTTTAGCAATAACGCTCCACGTCTCGGTTTGTGATTCACCAATGTATTAGTACGACCAAAGTTAGTTTTCAGGCTAACATACTACATCCGTTTTGTTTTTATTATGGATCGTGGGTGGCTAACATTAGAAATGACGTGATGTTGTGGTGTGACAGTCCGCAGTCCGCTCAAAGCTTAACTTACCTTTCTCCGTGGCATATTAAAGGTGTGGCTTATTGATTCTTGCTGTAATGTACTCCCCACTGTAAAGACAGAGTTACCGGAACCTCTATGAAAATAGACGTTTTCTTTTCGCGTCTAGACTCAAAATTGGCTGGAAAAAATGCACATAAATGATTTGTATCAGTTATGTTTACGACTCTGCCCATTCGTTACTGCGTGGTCCGTCAACAGATTTCGTCCGGGTGAAACACAACAACACCACCGTGTGACAAAGGTTCCCGTAAACAGTCACATAAACAGTTTTGCATGTTATGATCAAATTATTTATTGATTTTATTAAAGTGGCATTTGAATCTATTCAACCAATTAGCATAGTTATTTCTGAGACAATAGACAACACCTCACCTTTAATTATGTATACATATACATATATAAAAAGGTGTTACCATCATGGGCAAATAATAATATAAATAAAAGAGCTAAAATTGTATAAAAAAAACAATGTTTTTTTTTTTGTTTTTGTTTTTTTGTTTTTTTTTCCTTGTTTTCTTCATTAACTGTCTGTTTCCTACAATACAGTAGGTGGCAGTAAATATCTAGGAGTCGCTCTGCTCTGACACCAAAGAAGTAAGTCTTCGAAGGAGGTTTGACAGAGAGGGGCAAGGAAAGACTACACGTTGCGATTGCTGCCAAGTGGATTCTTCTTGCGTTTCTTTGACCAAAAACTCTTAGAAAAGGGAGTGAATTCTAGTAAAAGACTTCTTTGGCTATTATGGCTGGCAGCACCAACAAGTCTGTTGCAGAAATCTTTGAAACAATGGAATATGGACCCACTGCAAGTTCAAACACTGCCACTGCACAGGTAAAGTGTGTTCACATTGCCATGATGGTTTCTCTAAATATACAAGAAATGTAGTTACTTCTTTATTACCTTGTTTGCATATTCATATAACCATAAAGCTTATAGCCTACTACTTGCTGTCAGTAAGTAGCACACACCTGGTAGCTTATGTGGCCCATGTGAAGTTCATTTACAGTGAGCCACCAGTCTCTCACAAGACAAACATGTGACTGATTGCCTACTACATCTAGTGAGGACAAGTCAAGGGTGAAATGTCTTATGAACACCCATTAAAAGCAAAATGTTACAAATTGTTGGCAAATGAAGTGTCTATCCTGTGTTAAAGACTTGTAGTCCTAGCTATAGGTTTAGAGTTATGTAGGCTCATCTTAAGGTGTATCTATTGTAAACATGATGATTAAAACATGGTAAATTTGTAGTTTAACAAAAAACAAAAAAAAAATCTGAGCTGTGTCCTTTGGCCTGGTGTCTGTAAATGGTTACACACTACCCTCTTTATCTTTCAGAGGTCTGCAGAAATATGGAGGTCATCCCCGCTATATTTATTTTGGCGTGATTACTAGTAGTTTTTAACATTTTCCTTTCTGTATGATTTCTCAGGCTTGGCTAGATCGTCATTCCCGCTCTCTTGGTTTGTTCATCAATGGCAACTTTGTCCTTCCAGCAAACAGACAGACTCGCTCTCTGGTGGATTCAAAAGGTACACACGTTTTAGTCTGGGATTCATATTTGATATACATTACCATTGACATAGCAGAACTATATCTCTTCTGTACCTTATTTGTTGTTGACCTCCAGGTGTTCAAGTCTGTAGTACAGTCTGCGCCGAGGAGGAGGATATTTCGCAGTGTGCCTCTTCTTCTGTGAATGGATTTAAATCCTGGAGTAGTCTGAACTGTCAGCAGAGGGCTAAAGTCCTGCTCAGGTACAACTAAAACACCTAAGAAAATACAGGCTATAGCATATCCCATCTCTGTTTTGAGCATAGTTGATTATAATGATTTATTGTTCTTAACCTGTTGTAAGCAAATGCAAATTGTATATTGTGTTTCCGCAGGTTGGTGGGTGTTCTGGGTCAGCATGCAGCCTGCGTCTCAGAGCTGTGTGAGCTGTGTGAAGCCCCCTGCTCTCCCTCCTCTGTGGTTAGACTGCTGCAGTACTACAGCAGCTGGGCCCAGCTCAGAGACACTCTTCTCTCCGGCTGGACATCACTTGGTCAGTAATGGTACACTGCTTCATCTTAAATATGGCCACCAAATTATTCTACAGAGATTTTATTTTCTTATGCAGGAGTGGTGGAGGTGGCTTGCTCCGATGAATGTTCACTCTATTCTCTTATGACCAAAGTCCTGCCAGCTCTAGCCATGGGTAAACATGCATGTTGCAAGTGGAATAATATTGTTTCACTCATGTAATAAAATGCATTTAAATGATTTCATATTCTAGGTAACTCTGTCATCATTGTCCCTGGATACTGCACTGCCCCTGCTGCACTCTTATTGGCTCAGCTGTTCATAGGGGCGGGACTACCTGCGGGAGCTCTAAATGTTCTAACAGGAAGTGACATGTCTCTTTGCGCTCAGGTGGCCCAGAATTTGAGTATAAACTATGTCACCTACTGCGGCAACAAGCAGGTTTTAAGTTTGTCAGTAATTGATGCTGTATTAGCAGTGTTACATGATGTTTCAAAGCATTCTCCCTTTTAGGATGGAGTGAATCTTTGTAAAGCCTCCTCTGCTTTTGGCGTTCCTATCTCTGTTTCTGCGAGTATTGGTGCCACTTGTCCCTTTATAATCTTTGATACAGCAGATATTGATAGTGCAGTGGATGGAGTGATTGAAGCTGCTTTTAAGAAGAAGAAAGAGGTAATTTAATTGTGCGCCATTACTGTATGCTTATATCTGTCCATTTCTAGTAAAGTTAAACTGTTGAAAGCTTTGCATTTTTGCTCTATTTGTTTTTCTAGGTTAAATAAAATCAGGGACATCAAATTTAATTTAGAGGCCTGTTGATGCTTAATGTGTCCTGTCCTTTCTCAGGTTCACTGGGTTCTGTTGGTCCAGGAGAGTGTGCTGAACAATGTCATGGCCCGTCTAAAACTGCGAATGGCGGGAATGAAAAGTGTTCCATTGGCCTCTGATGGAGCGAGAGCTCTAGTTGATGCTGTAGTAAAGGAGGCTCAAAACCAGGGGGCCATGGTTAGAAGCTGTTTACAACAAGTATTATTTCATTTTTTATATTTTAGATAATAAACAAAAACCTGTGTCTGTCCCAGCTCATTTGTCCCTCTGATACTGCTCCCTCTGGTGCAATGTACCCCCCCACTGTGCTATGTGGGACAGCCCCCTCCTCTCCATGTGTGGTCAGTCCAGCTCCAGGACCACTGCTACCTCTCATGACATTCAGGACTAACACAGAAGGGGTCACTGTGGGTAAGATTTAACTTGCTTTCTGCACCAAGTCCCTCCCCCTTCAGAGTGCCATCACAGCACAATCAGCATGCATCTCACTAATGAACCTACTGCACATCGCGGTTTTGTGAAGTTGTTTTGTATTATATGTTATGCTCGCTTTTGCATATGTGTGGAAAATTGCCGTGTTGGTTTGTTTTAGATGAGTGAACATTTGAACATGGTAATAAGATCCAGAAAGTTGCTCAGGATTTAAATCTTCATCGTCATCGTTATTGGAATGTTGGGCCCTGAATAATTCATACCATTTAACTTTAGCAGCGAAATACCCACTCCAAATTTATAATATAACATTTAATTCCTTCATGTTTACCAGACTTCACCTCACATTTCATTCCTCCCACCCTTCATATAAAAACATGCTGCTATTCTTGTTTTTCAGGGAATCACAGCCCTCATGGTATGGCAGCTTCGATCTGGACAGAGGACCTTACACTGGCTCTAGAGACCGCAAAGAGGTGCACGCATGTCAAAAATCATTAATTGAATCTCTTGCTTCTTTTATATTTTGGGCAAGATTAGAGTAGGTCACCTACTTTTAAGTCTCAAAGATGCTTCTCTCCCTTCAGTTTGTCTGTAGGGTGTGTGTGGGTGAACTCCCACTCTTTTTCTGACCCCTGCTTGCCTGTGTTTGGACACAAAGACAGTGGAACCTGCACTGATGGAGGTCAGGAGGTATTGTCTTTCTTTTTTTTTCAGTTTTATTGCAAAAGTTGATTTGACTTTTTCCTATATCATCTGATCATTGTTGTTGTTATATTTTTAGGGTCTGTACCATTTCCTAAGACTGTCCTCTTCCAAAACACCACTTCCTCGATCCTCACCTGTTTCTTTGGACTATGATAAATTTGGAGTTGCAGCTCCCACAACTATTATTCCAGATGATTCTGATCCTGCAAGGTAACAGAACAGTTTTGCATCAAACTAAACAAAAATAACAACTCACTGACTAATGTTTCCCTCACTTCTTCAGTGCTCCAAAGATCTATCAACAGTTTGTTGGAGGAAAGACCTGTAAATCTGTATCTGGAGGCAGTGTGGCTGTGCAGTCAGCAGATGGCACTAAACTTTTGGCATACTGTCCAGATGGGGGCAGGAAGGATGTTCGTAATGCAGTGGAAGCAGCAACCAAAGTCCAACCTGGGTAACAGCCTCTCCCAACCCAAACACGCAAACAGACCAGAGTAAACAAAACATAAATGGGCAATGGAAAATCTGTGGCCCTTCTCATGTTTATACAAACCACTTCTGAATGCAGAGAACTTTCAGAGAACTGGGCTAAACCAAAGTGATTCATGCAATTACTTTGTACGTGGAAAAACCATTTGCATGTGCTTCAAAAAGCCAGTTGATCTCATGTGTCCTATCTTGAGTCTATGAATGTGATGGTTAGGTGTAAAATATATTGCACATATATTTTTTACTTTCTTTCAAGAATACTAATGTATTACCAGTTTTAGCACACATAATTAGGACACCTATAATGATTGATTTCCCCTGGCAGTTGTTAGTTGGATACACAGCTGTTAAGATGTTTATGAGAGCACCGTTATGGAAAACCGTCAGCTTTAATTATTTTATCACCGACCAAAGTCCAATTCACCTCTGATAAGGAGTAAAAAGTGCTGTCATTACCATAGTTACATTTCTAACCACACAAATGTGAATACAGTAAAATAGCTTAATAGGACTTAATAGTTGCTATGACATAAATATTTACTTCTTCTCAGGCACGTGTTGTCTAAATTATAGAAGACACACCTCATACTATTGTTTGATTATTTATTCTTTTCTTTATGTGACAGTTGGATGAAAAAAAGCCTGTCAGCACGTTCCCAATCACTGTACTCTTTGGCAAAAGGCCTAGAAGCAAAGAAGAAAGACTTTGTGGCTTCTTTGAGTACACAGACAGGTGTGTCAGCAGAGAGTGTCGACAGTGAGGTGGAGCTCAGCATTGCCAGGCTCAATGATTGGGCGGCTTTCTGTGACAAAATGCATGGTGGGACTCTGGTAAGGCTCTAGAATGATACATTATAAAAATGCAATATTTAATGTATTAAAAAAATGACTATTATTTACTTTAAACTCTCATAAAACCATAGATTTATTATAATACTATATCCACCAAGAATAATGTGATGTTCAGTCACTTGTCCTTACATTTTGATGATGCAAAATGATATTGTCTTCTCCAGCCTGTGCCAAATTCAGGCTGTGCTCTCTCTATCCCTGATCCCCTTGGAGTGATTGGGATTGTCCTCCCTGACAAAAACCTTCTCCTTTCCACTGTGACCCTCCTGGGGGCTGCCATCGCCACGGGCAACGCTGTCGTCATGGTGCCTAGTCAGAAGTATCCTGTACCAACACTGACGCTCATTCAGGTACAAAACTGGTCTCTGCTTACAACACTACTACCACTTATCCACAAGTTTGGCAATGTTTATGGATATTACACGTAGGGGTGTCAAATTATCGCGTTAATTGCGATTAATTAATTACAGTCATATTTAGCGCGTTATGTTTTTTAATTGTGTTAATCTCATTTTTAATCTCTAACTTTACTGTTTCTGTATGCGAGTTGCTTTATTATAAAACCTGTTTTTATGTGTTGTTGGGACAACAACACACACACAAAAAACACATTTATACATTTTTTTATTTCGGTAATTCCACTCATTGCCGGAAACCCACACAAAACGCGTGCAGTAAGAGCGATGTAAACGTCATGTTAACGTTGGCGGCGTCAGTCGCACAATGGACGAGGTCAGTAGAACAGAGTCAGCAGTGCACAGGTAAAAACACATTTATGTCAGGTGGCAGGTCACTATAGGACAGTAGTGCAGACATCATGAGCCTATGCAGGTTGTTTTCACCAGTGACATTTAAGTTGTAGGCGATTTTATATTTGTTATTTTCTTTTATATTTCACGTCGGGAGAATAATTTCCAAGACACGAATGTGTTTTTACCTGTGCACTGCTGCCTCTGTTCTACTGGCTCTTCGACCTCGTCCATTGTTCGACTGACGCCGCCAACGTTAACATGACGTTTACATCGCTGTTACTGCGCACGTTTTGTGTGGGTTTCCGGCAATGAGTGGAATTACCGAAATAAAAAATTGTATAAATGTGGTTTTTTTTGTGTGTGTGTGTATGTGTCGTTGTCCCAACAACACATAAAAACAGGTTTTATAATAAAGCAACTCGCATACAGAAACAGTAAAATTAGAGATTAAAAATTAGATTAACACGATTAAAAAACATAACGAGCTAAATATGACTGTAATTAATTAATCACAATTAACGCGATAATTTGACACCCCTAATTACACGTACAGTATGTCTTTGGATCGTAAGGCTGTTAAACCAAAATATTATTTAATTAATCCTCCAAATTACTATTCCCTAAAATACAAGGATTGCCACATTACATATAACATTCTACATTTGCCTCATTTTTAGCTCTGGCCTAAATGGGTGTTTGTAACTCCAAGCTTTACCATTTTTTAAAAATATAAACATACAACTTTTATCCTGGTCAAAATCTTTTACGTTCACCTCTGTGTCCTCTGTAGGTGCTGCAGTTGTCTGATCTTCCTCCAGGCCTGGTCAGCATTATCAGTGGCAGTAAAGACCAGCTGACTGTGGCTCTGGCCAACCACAGTGTTATCAAGGGCATCTGGTACTGGGGCACTGCTGAGGTGGGCCTAAAACTATCTCTTAGATCTTGTGCATCATCATTTATTTATATGAGATAATGCATGTTTAGACTTAGACAAACTTTATTGAACTACAAGGGCAATTATTTAGGTGCCTTCTCTCTAATACTAAAATGTTTTTTTCTGCTGTAGGGCTGCCAGTACCTCCAGAACACATGCACCAGCCCTTTGAAAACTCTGCTTTGTCAGAGGGAAGATGAGGACGGTGACTGGGCCCGGTGTGACCTGGCTTTCCTGGAACACAAGTGGAGAAGTGCAGTTCAGTGGAAGAGTGTGTGGCTCCCAACCGCCTGAGGTCTCACAACACAACACACATTCAATATGAAGGACACAGTCAATAATTCAGATACTAATACATTAACGTCAAACTAGTGCTTTGAATATTCTGTTAACAAATAGAAAGCCTTCAGTTGGGCTGCAAGCCAAATCATAAAAAAGAGGAAATGAAACAAGGACTATACGAGACTGTACAAATATTGGCCAACAACATTGTTGGCTTATACTAACATTAAGTAATATATTGTATTCAGCAATTCTTTCAGGTGGACTAATAAAAACGGGAATTTATCCCACAATCTTGTAGCATTTTATTTTCATTATAGTTAAGTACATAGTGATGATAGAAAAGGTTTCCGGACAATGTTTTTGAAATCAAATTATTAATAATTGACTACGGAGGCTTCATTTTAATTGCATTGTAAAACAATGGTATTTTTGAATAATTTCAGTGTTGTACGCCTTATAGAAACTGTGATACATTTATGTTGGCCTGTAACAAACAGCACCAGCCTGTTTGTTATATGGCCATACAGTTTGAGGAAGCAGAACAGGGAAATTACATAAGACTTTTTAAAAGTGCTACTGTCAACAAAATAAAGTTGGTAATTTTTCCACCATGTAAAGCTGCCTCCTGCAACTGAATTCTAGAAGTATTTCCTGTGCAACCATTTTGCTGTCAGACCTGTTTTGTGTAAATGAAATACCTCTTGATATTTAGAAATCCTTTGTATTGTTTACATGATAATTATTATCACTGTCAATTGAAAACCTAATTACCTTTCTTCTACTGTTTGTCACATTCCACTGGGTTGGCCTTGGTCATTCTCATTTGTACCCTCATCTGAAAGGTCAAAATATCTGCCTTAATAGTACAGAACACAGAATCAGGATCCAGCAACTATACATCATAATACTGTATAATGTATTACTGTACAATACATCCTTTATGAATAAAAAAATATTTGTGGATCTACTTGCTGTGTTTTAAGTAAAGAAAAAGTAAAACTGAAGAGAAATGTGTGGGGGTTTTTTTTGTTTGTTTTTTTAAACTTTTATCATTACAGACATTATTTTCTTTTCTAACATAAACACTGGGCGGCAGAGGATAAGGTCCTCTTGTTAAGGCTGAGGGTCTGCCATCTGCTTGTCTCCATTGCGATGTTATTGTGTTGCCAGGAATGTTCCACAGTATGGCATTAAACTTCTCTTATCATCATGGAGATAAGCAGATGATGCCACCAAGCCAAGTTATAGTTCAGATCTTTTCCTGAAAAATTACTAGTACACCTTTAATTATTCAAACCTCTACAGTTCAAAGTTTAAATTAATGTTAAAAAAAACAAAAAAACATCTCTACTGCAAATAAAAGGTGAATACACATTTAGCCCAAAATTATATATCGCTCATCTCTCATTTATTAAACAATAACTCGGTAACAATAACCTATGACTGGTCTAGTATATGAGAACATCAGTATGTCTAGTAGTTGCTTCCTTATCAGACTGGTTTAATCCAGCTGATCAAGGCCTCGTTTAACCTTACATTTATCTTTATCTCAAAGATCTGTCTGACTGCACTTCCTTTTTCAGCCACAGTTGAACTTGGAAACTCAGGAATGCTGACTCATAACAGTGACACAGCACATTTATGCCTAACCCACATCCAGACACAACCAGAACCATATGGTTAAAAAAATCATTATTACTTGAAAATAACTTCTTTATAATATTTCTTTTTATGCTTAATGTCACACTATGAAAAAATGTAATTCAGGTGACACTTTATTATAGTTATTTGTATTAGTGTCTTTCTGTAATGTCTACATGTCAAGTTAAGTTATGTCTACATTACATTAGTCTTTTAAAATGGCAACAACCCTTGTTCCTGATCATTTTATCAATAGTTATTCATTCCATTAGTTGTTCATTGCCTTGATAAATGAGATAACAAGATTTCTTGCATCTTGGTTTACAGCACTATTAAACGATGGACTAAGGATGTAATTTCAGATGTAAGGGTTTTAATCTTTGTTAACTCATTTAATTGTAGGTTTCTGCTGAAATATCTAAAAATTTTCTTTGCTTTTTAAGTCAACATTTTTTTGTTTTGTAGAATCTTTAAGAATATGTCTTCCCTGTGTGAAGACCATAAGTTGTCTAATATAGATCTGAGTGATCTTTTGAAGGGCTTGTTCTTACAGCTGTGTATGTGATCAAAATTATAAAATCTCTTTTAGATTTAATTATTTAGAATTTAGATTACACGGTGTGCATAATTATTAGGCAAGTCGTATTTATGTAGATAAATTTTATAACTGAACAACTACAGTGCTCTCATTCAGTCTAAAATTTTAATAAACCTCAAACCAAAATATTTAAGAAAGTAAAAGTGACATTTTGGCTTTCTTAGGAGAGAATCTATGTCTGCCCAATTATTATTGCAGTATTAATGTGCAGAATTATTACACAACAAAATGAAATGGTTATTTCCAGTTGTCAGAATAGTAAACAACTCAAAACATTTAAAAAATAAATCAGTGACCAATATAGTCATCCTTCTCCTGAATAATGGTCATAAGCCTCAACTTTTTGCGCAGCAGCAACCACAGCCTCCCAGACACTGTTCACCGTAAATCTCCTGTTTAAGAAGGACCCACAAGTTGTCAATTGCGTTTAGGTCAGGTGAGGAAGGAGGCCATGACAATATTTTTTTCATCTTTAAGCCCTTCACTGGACACAGTGGAGTACTCTGGTGCATGCGACGGAGCATTGTCCTGCATAAAAATCATCGTCCTCTTGAAAGATGCAGACTTTTTTCTATACCACTGCTTGAAGAAAGTGTCTTCTAAAAACTGGCAGTATTTTTTGGAGTTCATTTTGAATCCATCTTCAGCAACCTCATCTTTAATAATACCAGCTCATACCAGTACCAGTACCCACCTCCACCTTGCTGGCGTCTGAGTCGCAGTGGAGCTCTGTGTCCATTACTGATTCAGCCACATATAGTGTGTTGATCTCCTTCGTTCACATCCTCCTTGTTAGACAAATACACATGATCTGCTTAAATCCAGTAAGATTTCAAGTTTATACAACTTAGAGTTGGAGAATATGCATAAAAATCATGATATGGTCAAAATACCCACTTGCTAGTAATTGTGCACACAATGTAAAAAAAAATATGGCACTGCACTGAATTGCTGATCTCACTTCAGGACACAGCGTTCCTTGAAATGGGCTCAAGGGAAAAGATAAATATTTGATTTTATCTGACTGAAACCAGAGAGGTGCTATTCTTTCTAGAAATGCTACCCATGATTTTACTACATAACAAAGTAATTTATTTTTGACTTCCGAAAATAAAACAGTCCACAGTGATTTCTCTACCTAAATTTAGAGTTTTAATTCTTATTTATTTACCCACCACGTATTCTTTTGCATATAAAAAGTTCTTTGTCATTGTTGATCTATATGTCATAGTCACAAGATTGTATTACTCAATTAATCATTTAAAGTGCTGTGTCATGGTTTGTTTGCCTGGAAAGTAATCGTCGTCATATGAAACCGTGGCTCCTGATTGGCTGAGCGTCTGTGCGTGCTGCGATCACGAGGTCCCACCAGTATAAAAGCAGGTGGTGTGGCTCTTCCATTTCAGTCCGGGAAGTGATCCTCAAGAGTTCTTGCTTCAACAGTGTTTGAACGGAACTTCTTGCTTCGTCCCAAGCTTTTTCCGACTGTTCCTCATTTTGGGCACAAAGAAACCTTTACTTGAACACTACTGAATACCGTCAGCGCAGAGCTATATTTTTGTACTTTTGATAAGAAAAGCTCGAGAAAAACGCCAGCTAAAATGGAGTCTCAAGTGCGCCAGAACTACCACCGTGACTGCGAGGCAGCCATCAACAGAATGGTCAACATGGAGCTGTACGCCTCCTACACCTACACCTCTATGGTAAGTACGCTGGGTGCATGGCAGTATTTCGATGCAAACTAAACTGGTTAAATCGGCCAAATTTATTTGAAAGCGGAAACATACTGAATCTTGAATTGTTACACAAGGACCATCCTGTTCTCCACCTACGTAGTGAAAAATGCTGCGTCATGCTTAGACAGTCCGCCTCTGATTATCTGGACTAGTCTAGCTCTACACACCATGATTAATGCTGACCACTGCTTGGTTTCTTAACTACCATTTGTCACCATGCTGATCTGCTAATAATAATGCTCCATGTTTTAATGACTGTTTTTGTGCCCTTTACAGGCTTTCTACTTTGACCGCGATGATGTGGCCCTGCCTGGTTTTTCTCACTTCTTCAAGGACTGCTCCCATGAGGAGAGGGAGCACGCAGACAAGCTGCTGTCCTTCCAGAACAAGAGAGGTGGTCGCATCTTTCTCCAGGACATCAAGGTGAGTTCAGTCTTGCCTTAACTGGTGCATTACATAAAACAAATTGCTAAAGTCTCCAAAGAACCTGAACCACACCCAGTAATTCCTCGAAGTTTGAACACATAGAACTGGTACCGGTGTGCATTTGTCTTTCATCTTCTAACCCTCAATTATAAATGTTGTTGCAGAAACCAGAGCGCGACGACTGGGCCAATGGCCTAGAGGCCATGCAGTGCGCTTTGCAACTGGAGAAGAAGGTGAACCAGGCTTTGCTGGACCTTCACAAACTGGCTTCTGATCATACTGACCCCCATGTAAGTCTAAACCACATTGCTTTTGGAGTAATGTTGATGTAAAAGTAAATGATTAATGTTCTGATTTTCTTCTATCCCCTTTTTAGCTGTGTGACTTCTTGGAGACACACTACCTGAATGAGCAGGTGGAGAGCATCAAGAAGCTGGGTGACTACATTTCTAACCTGAGCCGCATGGATGCCCAAAACAACAAGATGGCTGAATACTTGTTTGACAAGCACACCCTGGGCGGAGGCAAGAGCTAAAGCTCAGGCTAACGTCACAGCCTATAAAGTCAACAGGCTTAATAGTTTGCTTTCTGCTCCTGTTGACTCTCCCCACAAGCCATATCTAATCTTCAAAACGTTCTCTCCAAATGGCATCTGTGTTTTGTTTATTGGGTTGTTTTGCACCTGTAATTCTGCCCAATCTTGAATAAACCGTTTGAGCTGGATTAATCCTTTCCTGTATTTATTTTTAGTGCAGATTAGGCCTGTTTTTGACTATATCCACAAACACTTCATTTTTACTGGGGTGAAAAGTAATTATCTGTTAATGTAGGGTTATAAACATACTATGCATGAAACTTATTACCTGTAGTGATTTGACATTGTCCACTATGTTCAGCATGTAACATTCGTGTATCGGGGTTTAGTTTTGTCCTCTTTTCTTTATAAGGGGTGCCACATTTAATTTTTGGCACCAGTGTTACTTGGAATATCAGATTTAAAAGAAAGGGAATTGAGTATATTAATATAAAATGTTCTGAATACTTTCTTATGATTAAAGTTTCTGTAGAATTACGATTCTTGGCTATAATGGCAAAATAATAATAGTAACTAGAAAAGCACTCAGAGAGCGCAGACCTCCGCCAAGGACTACCCCCATTTTTTAAATAAATTGCGATAAAATCAGTCTTCTGGATCAGATCCAGATCAGCCTTTGGATTATGAAAGAGGATCCCATTGTCCATCCCTGAGTCAAATTTCATGGGGTTTGGTCAATAATTAACCGAGATATTGAGAAACAAAATTTTTGGCCCATTTACCACAATGTTAACTAAAATTTCAAAGTGATCCAGAATCCAGAATTTCTTCCGGATCACCCCCAAAATGAAATCAGTTCTTCCTTTTCACATTTCCAACAAATCCTGAAAATTTCATCAAAATCGGTCCATAACTTTTTGAGTTATGTTGCTAACAGACAAACAAACAAACAAACAAACAAACAGACAAACGCCGGCAAAAACATAACCTCCTTGGCGGAGGTAATAATAATTAAAGCCGCGCGCGGCGATGGTGGCCCTCGCCCCGGCGCACAGTCCCCTCCCACGCGACGCCAGGGACTCGCAACCGCCCCGGCGTCCCAGTCTCTCTGCCCGACAGCTGCCCAGGCCGACAGCTTGTCCAACAGAAAAATTACATAGTGTACCTTTAATATTGGATAATGTGAATGATTCTAGAGACAAACTATAGAAACTAGGCCACAGGTCACGTGACTTTTATGGTCAGGAGAACTGTCACACTAAGACTGTGCATAAAAACACACCTTCCACCAAAAAAGTTTCATAGTGCACCTTTAAAATTGGATAATGTATCGTATAACGATTCTAGAGGCAAAAGTGTAAAAACTAGGGCATAGGTCTCATTGACTTTTCTGATCAGGAGCACGTCAGGGAATGTTCTGCAAAGTTTCACGAATGAACGTGAAAGTTATTTTATTTCTCCTTATAGTAAATTTTGTGCATTCCTATAAGTGGCACTGTAGCACTGATAATTGTGTTTGACATATCAATGGACTCAGGGTCATGCAGTGTTTAACTGATAGAAATTTCAGCACGATCGCACTAAACAAGTGTGTATAATAATTTTTACAAATTTTTTCGGGGGATTCTTTGCGCCCCTGCTGGCCAACAGTGAAAAATACCCCATGTCCGTAATAGACTTTTTGGCTTGTAATCATGCATAGAATTTAATCTCCAAATTTGGTCCAAATCCGATAATACTGACGTTTCGTGTCTATGCTAGGGGGCGCTATAGAGTTCACTTTTATTAAATTTCATATTTCATTACATTCAGGCCTAGATCATGCAATTGTAATTTGAACAATGCCTGTGGCCGTGACAGGTCACCGAAGAAACAGGAAATGAAGGCGTTTTTCGCCGGCGTCTACGGGCAAACCGTAAGGAGTATCCTAAAAAAAAGTTGAACGTTTGTGAGTTCATGTCTGTAGATGTGACATGTCAAATCTGAGCTCATTTGGACCAAACCTCGGGGACTTGAATCTTTTTGTAGACACCCAAGTCAAAACGGCGCCGAATGTTTGATCCAATATGGCCGACTTCCTGTTCGTCATAGGGTCATGCTCCAATTCATCTTTTGGCTTGTCTCATTGTTCTCTATCACTGTTCCGAATTTCGTTTCCCTGCGACAAACTTTGCCAGTCCCCACTCCCATAGGGGTCCAATTCTAGGCGGCGCTGTTGAGTCTGGTCACATCGGTCATTGTCGCGATGCCCATTTTATCGAATTTTTTCGCCGGACCGGTCGATCTGAATCCCGGTTTGGGGACTTTTCGTCGATGTTCAGGGGGTCAAAAATGCGATTCAATGTGGGGTAAAAGAATAATTTAAAAAAAGAAAAAGAAACCGACGAAGAACAATAGCCCTCGCCAGTTACTTCGTTACTGACTCGGGCCAATAAAAACACACCTTTATTTGATATAGGTGGTAGCCTAAGCCTCAAGCCAAAAAGGTTGGAAACCACTGCGCTATACTGCCACAAGATGGCAATATTGACAAAGTTTCCTGCAAATTATTCTTGTGTTTTAGACCAGTGATTTTTAACCACGGGGCCGGAGCTCCAAGTAGGACAGGAACCACCTCCTTAGGAGCCCTACAATCAGTACACATCAAATTCAAAAGTGTTAAATTCACGTTGGTGTTGTGAGTAAAGTGAAGAAAATCCAGATATGTTTCAACATAGTCAAGAGTTATTTTAACTATGACAGTGCTGTAGAGTAAAATAAGTAGTTGTTGATTCACAGTGTTCACAGTTGGAAAAACAGTATTGTGTCATATGATTTATTTAAATTGTGTTGATTGTATGATGTGCATTGTTTTAATACAAGTTAAGTTGAAATGGAATTTTGTGGTGGTTTTCATTATTTTACATTTGTAAAAGGGATTATGAACTAGAATGACCACAGCATTTCGACTGTATTTAGTGAAGAAAGAGTTACTATTGAATAGTGTAACATGAAGAACACTCTACACTATTTCTACTTTCTTCATAAAGTGTTAAAACATAGCAATACAGAGTTATTCGTTTTTCACTATACATTAGTGTAAAAAAAATCTAATCTTAATCAGTGTCAAATCCAACTATGAGGAGTGTGGTACATCACCAGTGTTGAGCCTTCTACACTTTGGAAAGTGTAGTTTTAACTCATTTTATTGTGAACCCCATATCACATGGTAAAAGTGTTAAAATTAACAAAATACGAGTTGAATTAACACTCGAATCTGTGTACAATATAATACATTTAATATGAGATAGGGCCCCAGGTTACTTTGCTCAGAAGATTGAAAAGGTTAAGAACTTACCTTTAGACCACCTCACTTTTTATGACAATTGGCCGAAGAAGGTCAAAACTTGATAGCTCTTGATAGCCAGTCAGCCCATTTAATTTTGTACAAGGACTTATCCTGGATTTTTTGTTTGTTTTTCTTTTCTTCTTAGGATGCCTATGCCTGTATGGAAATAACAGAAAACAGATTAATATGAAGTCAATAACATTTGCCCTATCTCCTGTCTTGTATTGGGAAAGGTGATGTTAAATTGGCATGAGGATAGTGAGGAGATTACCGGGACGGAGGGAGGGAGGGGCAGACGCCGAGTGTCGCGCGCACAGACCATGGATCTATGGCACAGACGCATCTCCAGTCCGCGTGAGTTTCCACTTCAGATTGTTATAAATGAATAAAAACAAAAGGAGTATCACACCGGCGTGCTGAGAACAGGTAAGGAAATGAAATGGGATTTAAAGATGCTAGCCCGTAATTTGAGCCATATTTTAACTAGATTGTATAGATTCAAGAGGATTCAAGATTCAACAGAAAAATGTAAAAAAATAAAATAAAATAGGAGTTTCTGAGTTGACCAGAACATGGCATGCTGATTATATACGTTCTGGCATTATTTAATTAGCTGCACTTTTAATATTTAATACACACTGAAATGTAGAATAGAAAAACAGAAAAATCAAATCTGCAATTATACAAAAACGAACCTAAATAACCTAAAGATTTTTGCACTGTTGCTGTGTATTGCTTTTCAATCTGCTTGAATTTACGATTATTTTCTAAAAGAGGTACAGATTAGTTCAGGTGGATTAGCGGTGGCCACATTGCGCGTCTATTTTCAGGGTTTATGTCACGTGGAGTCACTAGCCTACAGTGTTTTCCTGCTGGTGATGATTTGAAAGATGGAGCTGGTCATCATATTTAGTAATCAAACTGATAAAAACTTCTGTGTTTTATTCTTATCTTGACCTTGACTTGTTTCTCTCACTGAAAGTTCTGTCATTTTTTTATTGGGCAACCTGCAACGTCATCTTGACACCAAATCTATAGAGAAATAAGTGTGTAATTTAATTTAACAACACATTGTGCATGAACAAATATGATAAAAATGACACGACTATTATAGCATAACAGCTGCAGCCAAGTGTAATGCATGTGACTTCAATTGAGTTTCATGTGGATCTTGTGGATTCTTGTGGATCTGGGGCTGTCCCTCAGAACTGCCATGGACTTAAAATATGCTTTTATAGTGGATCTGTATTGTGTGAGGGAGGATTATGGCAGAAACAGTGACAGATCAGAACATAGGGAGACACACTCTGCTCTTGATTTGTTTAAGCTGTGGATTTCTGGATTACCCTTGACAATTAATCTTGTTACACAGACTGCGAGGAGAAACCATAGACATTATCAGATGAACTAGCTAACTGCTGCCAGCCTCATTTCAATACTTCATGTCAAGCACCACCATTTCACAACATAAAGCAGCAGGTTATATGTTGCGCCAAGACTCCCAAACAAAGTAATTATTATTTACTGCATTGCTGTTGGTGAATCTGCCTTCTTATTGCTTTCTTGCATGTAAAATCCTCTGTCTATGATCTTATATTCATTTGCTTCAGGAGTTAGTATCTAGGAGTATCGTGTTTGTAACAAGTGACCAAGGATTAGAGGATTAGAGACAGGTGAAAGGTCAGATGAAGCTTAGGGACAACTCAGAGTCAGATAAATACTAAAACATTGTGAAGAATGTTTTTGCTTAAATTACTACACAACCATAGTACAGTATATATATAGTCTTGATGCAGTCATGAGTTCATATGGGATAAGACATGAATATTCAATTTTTGCACACAGATCCAAGATGCGATTGGTCAGCGTGTCCGGGGCACGGCTTCGGAGGGCGGCCGAGGAAGAGGAGAGAGAGAAGGAGCGCCCTGCCGCACCTGCCCCGCCCCCTGTCTCACACCATCAGTTCAACAGCCTCAAAAATAAATTCTTCGATGAGCTCACACATTTGCCAAGTGAGCACTTCCAACTTTCACCAACATCATTGTACATAATGGCAAACGTGATAAAATAATATTATTAATTATTATATTATAACACATTATATTGCAATAAGTGACAGCAAAGATTTACACTAAGCACAATGTACTATCTATAATGTTAAGTCAATTCTACTATGTCATAATGGTCACTAATGTTGAATACTACAGTTATGTAAAGTGTGGGTACATATATATCTTTACACATGACACATGCATTTTCCCTTAATGAAATCAATTTATCTTTTACATGTATTTTATTCATGCAACCACTCGTCTCTACAATCAAGATCATAAACTTCGCAGTAAGTTTGGTATATTTTAAAGGAGATAAATTGTGTATTTAGATATCATATTCTTTTTTAGAGTCTAAGTAAGAACAATGTACAAGGTTATTAGTTTTTTTTGTTTTTTTTTTAAAGCTATAATTAACCTCCTTTGGTCTCTTCTGTAGTGCCTATGTGGGCTGTGGGTGCCATCGTGGTGGTGGTCCTGGCTTTAGTGGCATGTATGGGGTTCTGCATTTACAAGAAATGTTTCAACAAAGGCAAAAAGCAGAAGAAAGTGAGAGAAAGAAAGGCTGGAGGAGGCCGGGGACGCAGGAAAAAAGACAAGGAAGGAGAGGACGATGACAAGAAGGTAATGGTGTCCTATGGATGTGTGTGTGTGTCCAACTGTGTGGAATTTAATTGGTATAATACTGATAATGTATATCTGAATTTTTCAAGATATACATGATGAAAATGCATTTTAAATCATAATCAATCATAATAAAGTTATAATGAGGTGTAAGGTAACTACAAACAGAATAAGAGATTATACTAAAAATTATACATGAAACACAAATCATACATATCATACAATAATAATAGCTACTATCTGCTATCTACTAACATAAATAGTACATTTTAAATTACTTGTCTTTGCATTATCCTGACACTGGATAACATTTCACTTCATTAGTATACTGTATCATTGTACATTTGGTTATAGTCCTTTGTTTTGGTTTGTCTAATTGTTGACGTAGTATTTGTGGTTGTGTCTCACAGGAGGGAGACGAGGCTAAAGAAGAAGAAGAGAAGGAGTTCTTTGGTAAACTGGAGTACTCACTGGACTATAACTTCAACGATAACCAGGTAAAACTCACATTTCTGTTGATGCAAGTCACTATTCATGTAAATATTATACAGAAGAGGTCATTTTTCATACTTTTATATTTGTTTTGCATATTTTTTGTAGCTGATCGTAGGAATCCTCCAAGCCCAGGACCTGGCAGCTATGGACATGGGAGGCACTTCAGATCCTTATGTTAAAGTGTTCATGCTCCCAGACAAGAAGAAGAAGTTTGAGACCAAAGTCCAGAGAAAAAACCTGTGTCCAGTCTTCAATGAGACTTTCACATTTAAGGTCTCCACCCTGGGCTGTTAACATAGACTTTATAGAGAAAATGCTTGATTTTAACATCATTATTGTGGTCTTTTCAGATCCCATACACTGAGCTCGGCGGACAGACCCTAGTGATGCAGGTCTTTGACTTTGATCGATTTGGAAAACATGATCTCATTGGAGAGATTAAGATCGCTATGAACACTATTGACCTGGGACAACCCATCCATGAATGGAAGGATCTGAGCGGAGGAGAGAAGGAAGAGGTAAGGCAGCAATAGATTTATGTTATCAGTTACAGTTGTTGTTTACAGAGCTGAATCATTTGTCATTAGCAGATAAGATAACATTTATTTCTCTCACAATAGGGAAATTCTAATGCTGCACCAAAAGACTATATACACTCTCTGTTAAGGATGTAACAATAACCAAAATATTGTGATATTGTATTATCAAAATTCTCACAATAATATCGTGGACCATCACAATATATGCAACATCCACTAAACTCAGAGTTTCAGCTTTTAGTCCCAAGATCTAGAACAAATCGTTTTAAAAGGAGCTTCGTTCCGGCTGCTATCGTACTTATGAATAAATTGTAATCTATTTATCTACGATTGTGTGTTTTTAACATATTTAATATTTATTGTGATTTTAGCCAAGCGTGATGGATGATTTTAATTGGTTGTTTATGGAACAAACCATTCTGCACTGGAGCACTGTAACACCTTATTTTGTAATTGTGATTTTATGTGTGTTTTGTGGATGAATGAAATGTGAAATGTGGAACCTGTCTCTCAAATCTGCAAAGCAAATTTACCTACGGGTACGAATAAAGCAACCTAACCTATATCGAATTACAAGTCCCTTTGCTTAAATTAAGAGAACTACATAGACCATGATCCTTTGCTCCATTTCAGTGCAGACTACAAGAAGAAATAACAGTTCTAAGCACTTTAAAGTCTTAGTTCTTTGTATTAAGTCTTGACAAAGTATTTGAAGAGGAAAAAGTATCATATTCAATTTTGTTAACCTCCACAAAATATTGCAATAAATATCGTACCGTGAGATGTGTATCGTGAAAATATTGCACCGAGAGATTTGGATATTGTTACATCCCTAATCGTGAGCCTCCCGTCCATATCGTGAGCTTTCCCACGATATCACAATAAATATCGTACTGTGAGATTCATACCATGACCTCATACCATACTGAGACTTGGATATTGTTACACCCCTACTCCCTGTATTTATATATACTTCATACTGTCTATGGTTGCAGCATGAGATCAATCATTCATACCAAGATAAATAACTATTAAAAAGTTAAAAGTTCCTTAATAGAGTCAAAACACTCAGATAATGAAATAAAATCTTGTTATTGACAGCAAGAGAAGCTGGGTGACATCTGTATTTCCCTGCGTTACGTCCCAACCGCTGGAAAACTCACCGTCAACGTCATGGAAGCCAAGAATTTGAAGAAGATGGATGTGGGAGGACTCTCAGGTTAGACTCAGATCACTGTTAAAAAATGAAAACTAAATAATACTAGTGATGTTTTTGGTCCATCTAACCTGGTTTCTCCTTAGATCCCTATGTGAAACTGGTGCTACAGCATAATGGCAAACGTATAAAAAAGAAGAAGACATCAGTCAAACAGAACACGCTGAATCCATATTTCAATGAGAGCTTCAGTTTTGAGATCCCCTTCTCCCAGATACAGGTTTGTAATGGTGTGCTTATGCAGAGTATACTCATGTTAACAATATATTAAGTATCATTTCATTTTTTATACCTGCTCTCGGCTCACAGAAAGTGCAGTTACTGGTGACTGTGTACGACTACGACAAGCTGGGGAGTAATGACCCCATCGGGAAGTGCTGGATTGGTTACGGTGCTTCGGGGGTAGGTCTGCGGCACTGGTCAGACATGTTGGCCAACCCCAGGCGTCCAGTGGCTCAGTGGCACACGCTTCAGCCAGAGGAGGAGATAGACGCAGCACTCAAGGCGCCCATCCGCTAAAACAAATGCTCAGCACAAGCTTCACAGGAGGTTTTTAGGCTTTCACAGTAGCATAATTGTCCATTATTTCTGACCTTGTTACTGAGAGTATATAACCAATCACACATCAAAATCTGCAGGCTACAAATCTGTGGTTTTCGAGAATTATGAAAAATTGTTGTTATAATAATTAGTGTTTTAAAACTAAATATTACATCTAAAAAAACATTACCCCACTGCACGATTAAAGATTTTTGTGATCTCATTTAAACAAGGCAATGTGACAGGATTCCAGAGTACGAAAATGTCCATCCTGTTCAAATTGATCTCTGTATGACTTTGTATGTATGGCGTTTATTTTTACGCCTCTAAAAAAGCAAACTTTTATGTTATGGTTACATGTTTTCAGGAGCAATCAGCAATGGGGCAGGGAGTACCTTTTCTATTTGTTTGACCTTTGTTTTTGCTGTTTTGTGTCATGTATTTTTCTTTGTTAATGTGACTGTGTTGTATTAATATTGAATGTCTTTTGAGCATTATGTGTTTAAAGATACTAGAGAGATCATTGTAACTAAATAGATTCAAAATAAAGTATTTCTAAACAACAGCTGCTGTGTGATAAGGTCATACTCTAGTTTAACAGACAATGATGGAATGAGTGGATTATCCTCTTTAGCTCTATCTCACGCTCCAAGCCAAATGTGTCCACCAGGAATTATTGCTAGGACTGAAGTTAATATTTTATTACTAAATTAAATATTTATTACTAAGTTAAATATTTTCAGTGATAGCTTCTCAGTTCACAGATTTGCACCTCATCTTGCTTGCTACAAAATACAGTATTAGTGTGTGCAGTAATGCTGTTCGTCATTGGGTTAGCCCGAATTATGCTTATTTTGCATCAGTATGTACATTTTATACATTTAAAATCCATGCTCAGAAAAATTGTGGACTAGAATTAAATAATTAGCATACAATTCAGAAAAAAGTTCTTCTTGTATTAGTGTTCAATGACATAGTATGACCACCAGTGGGTGCTTTTGGCTGTAATGAAAATGCTTTCCAAAAACCCTTTTACCCCCCTGAAGAAATACGTTATGGCATGCACTTATACAACTGCCTCCAGGAAAGTCACATTCTGTTATTTTTCACCAGCCTCTCCATCCCCAAAGATCTCGGATTCCTCATTCAGACTCTCATTCTGCTGGCAAAATATCATATAACCAAAACCAAATGGTCTCAAAATAAACCAAATATTCTTCAATATAATATTGAAATCCAACAATACTTTCAAACGATAAAACAGGTCTAAAACAAAAAAAGCTGTCAAAACTTACAATATCTACAGAAAGTATAGAATAGCTTTATTTAATTTATGACTTTTTCTTTTCTTTTTAAGTTTTGGTTTTATTCCTTCTGCTCCCCTGTATGATCATTTGCAAACCACCCCCATAATGTAGGGGGGGGGGGGAAAGAAAGAAAGACGGATGTATGTATGTTTTTGTGTATGAAGGTATATGGATATTTTCCACCCCTCACTCCTGCCATAACTGTGAACTGGACTTTGCATTGATGCAACAACAATCCAATCTGCACTTTATACTGTATATACATTTGTTGTTCTGTCTTGTTGTTATGTTTTTGTAATAAAAAATGCACTTATACAACTGGGTTAGTTGTTACTGACAAAGTGACAAAATGAACAAGCAGTTTGTTTATTACATATTATTTATTACTAGAAACCGTCACAAATATCTACCATAAGTTGTTATTTCCAATAGTCTTTTCTAACATTTAAGAGTCAATTCTCCCTCTGTTGTTTACTTCCAGCGACCACCAACCTTCCCTTTGCCATGGACCTTTTTGCTGTAAACACACACCATGTGACTCAGCATAGTGTTGGTAGAAAAACAAAAGAAAAAGAAAAATGTTATGTGAATAATTTGTGAGCATTTACTTACAATTTTTGGGCATGTTGGATTCTATTCAGCAGCACCACAATCTACACAAACAGTAAATATAACATATATATGTAACATATGCAACACATTTATAAAAGGGGGCGATGAACTTTGTCATACCTCATATTTCTGATGCTTCATGTGCTCCATGTAGTCAAACTTCTCAGACTCTAGCTGATAGATCCAATCCCACATCTCTTGGGCTTTTTGCCTTAAAACCAAAGTGGGAATTCAATGCACCAGATGTTTTGTTTCCTCACCAAAAAGACCTGGAGCTGTATTTTGTTTCATTCACACATGTTTAAACACACAAACAATGCATTTTTAGGGAAACAGAAAACCCTCCCTACCCTAAAGGTAAACGGTAGCACAGGTGGAAAGAAGCATGTTGAACTTTAGACAGACCAATAACCACTGAAACAACAATTATAAAGGATTATTCAAACTTGTGTGAACGAAACATAACAGTGCTCCAGGAATGTTTTTGAGGAGCTAATAACACCTTAACAGGGCTTACAGCAGAAGACATTTAAAATAATATCACTTACATAATATCACAGTATTTGTAGAAACTAATATGTGTGCAACTGGTGACAGTTTGGGTGTAAAATGTATTGTATTTTAATTTATGAGTTTATGTAATTGTACAGACAACACAGTAAATAAAACACAAATTATGTAATTTTCAAAAGAATAGACAAATAGAATAGAATAGACAAAATATTACAAAAAGAAGCATATCTAAGGATAAAGTGTAGTAAGCGCAAATGTTCAGATCATTTAATATTATTCAGATACATTTTTGCCCCTTAGGCTCAAAGAGTTATCAAAACCTTTATTCAAGTCTTCAAACTAAATGCTACTGAAGTATTGTGTCTGAAATAAATTTTGAAAAAGTTAAACTTCTTAAAATAAAAGTTGCTCAAGTAAATGTAAATGTAACACCACCCACCTTTTTTTCTTAGACACAAGGAAAATTACTTGGACTCATTAGCTTACACATTACAATATAAAAACAAAAGGCAGAAACATAACCCTCAACCAGAGTTAATGTCCCAACTTTGAGTAAACTAAATAGACAAAAACTGTTAGAAATTAAGAAACCAATTGAATACCTTAAAATCTGCTAAATACTTGATCAAAATCACATTTGATGATTTAGTTGTTCTAAAAATCTCTGCAAAATACTATTTTTAAGTAAATTTTTAAACAAATACTTCAATAGTTTCACTTAAATTGATTTTTCCATGTGATACTTTTACTTTTACTTGAGTTATCTTATGTTCCTGTGTTTATACTTTTGCAGAAGTAATAAAATTGAGTACTTCATCCACCACAGCCCTTGACCATAATCATACACAAGGGTTACCTGAGTGCATCCTCTCTCATGTTGTCAATGCCCAGTGGCTGTCGTCTCTCGGCCAAAGTCTTCTTCTTGATCTCTTTTCCTGTCAGACGCTTGCCCTTCCTCAGCTCGGCCTGCACCACACACACATGCGTTTTATTTCCGGCCTTTTTGGAGACACCACAGATTAAACAAACAGATCTGACCTTTGCCAAAAAGCCCCCAAAGTTGGACATTCCAGACAACACTTTCTTCTTCTTGGCATCATCATCTGCCTTCTTCTTGGCCTCCTCTTCCTCTTTTCTGTGGCGCTCCTCCTGAACATTTGAATTAAGTTTATAGGACATGAGCAAAAAAAACAACAAAATATAGTAATTATCTATTGGGTAGCCTTCTAGTTCTCAACTTACAGCAATCCTATTTTGCCTGTCCTTCTCTTTCTCTGCCCGCACCCGCTGAATCTCTGCTCTCTCTGACCGGCGGCGCTCCTGGATGTGAAAAAACATCATGTTATTTCAGTTTAACAACAAAAGAATACACATATAATAGCACAAAGGTCATGGAGTATTTTGAGGCTCTTAAAGGTTGTATAGAGGATTTTTTTAAGGGAAGAGAAATACAGCGGCAGTCCTTTTTCAAATGTTGTGCATGCGTGACACCACCTGCCTCCTCCACAGCTCCTTCAGTAGAAACACCTCTTCCTGCCTCCTTACTCTAGAAATCATGCTTGTTTCCAGCCAGTGCGCGTTCAGAATTACTGTTGAAGTGACCTGTCTAGAAATAATTTATCGAACGACACGTCAGTTTTTAGACCCTTCGTCTGCTTCATTCGCGCAATCGCTGGAAGGAATCTCCAAGAATCACCTCGGTTTGTTTTTGCTCCTTTTCCCCTTCTTCTCTTCTTCTTTCAGCGACCTCAAAAAGCAACTTTGTTTTGCGGCGAACTGCTCGTGGATTCTCGTCGGCCATCGCAACAAACTTTGTGCAAAATGTGAGGAAGCGACAGTTTTGAAAAAGCCTCTAAGAACCGCCGCATAAACCACGTAATCCCCGCATCCTGACGAGTCAGTTACACTAGAAATGTAAGGAGTTTGATTGATGACCTGACAGCCAATAGATAAAGAGGCAGTCTCGTTTTCTATTGGCTGATGTTTATCTGGCCTCAACACGTCCACAGTTGATAAATTTTCATTCTTTTTTTTTTTTGGTCATCATAATTACAAGGCTGCTGCGTCTCTCTAATGGTATTTTAAACTTTCACTGACAATTTGAAACAAAAAAAAATCCTCCATACAACCTTTAAGTACACATCAGTTGAAGTATATTGTCCTCTGAGTGATGTAATATTGAGCTCACAATCCGGTCCTTGAGTCCAATGAGCTCCTCCTCATCCTTCTTCCTCTGCTCAAAGTGTGCCTCTATCAGAGTCTGCAGCTCAGTCAGGTCTTTCTCCATTCGCTTTCTGTGGATGTCCTGGGCACAAAACCGTACAATTACTAAAAAAGAAAACCTTTGTGGTAAATATTACAGTTTAAAGTATACACCGTGTGCATAATTACTAGGCAAGTTGTATTTATGAGGATTCATTTTATAACTGAACTACTACAGTGCTCTTAGTCAATTCAAAATGTTAATAAACCTCAGATGTGAATATTTAAGAAAGTAAAATTGAGGTTTTGGCTGTCTTAGGAGAAAGTGCGCACAATCATTGGGCAACTACCAATGTGCAGAACTATTACGCAACTAAATGAAACACTTTCCATTCTCACTTGTTTATCTTCATCTGTCAGAATAGTAAACAACTCAAAATTTACAAATCAACATTTCTGGCATTAAAAAAAATGTAACCAATATAGCCACACTTCTCCTCAATAATGCTCATAAGCCTTCATGGAGTCTGTTAGTTTCTCAATCTGTTAACAATTAACTTTTTGCGCAACAGCCACCGCAGCCTCTCAAACACTGTTCAGACAGGTGTACTGTTTTCCTTCACTGTACATCTCCTGTTTAAGAAGGACTCACAAGTTCACCATAGGGTTTAGGTCAGGTGAGGAAGGGAGTCATGACATTATTTTTTCATCTTTAAGGCATTTGGTGCATGCGACGGAGCATTGTCCTGCATAAAAATCATGGTCCTCTTGAAAAACGCAGACTTTTTCCTTTTTCATTTTGAGTCCATTTTCAACCTGAAAAGGTCCAACAACCTCATCTTTAATAATACCAGCTCATGCCAGTACCAGTACCCACCTCCACCTTGTTGGCGTCTGAGTTGAACTGGAGCTCTGTGCCCAATACTGATCCAGCCACAGGCCTATCCATCTGGTCTGTCAAGAGTCTCTCTCATCTCATCAGTCCATAAAACCTTTGAAACTGAAATCTGTCTTGAGATATTTCTTGGCTCAGTGTTGATGTTTCAGTTTATGTTTCTTGTTCAGTGGTGTTGGGTTTAATCCTTCCATACCTTGGCCATGTCTTTAAGCGCTGAACACCTTGTACTTTTGAGCACTCCAGGTAGGCTGCAGTTCTGGAAAATGACAGCACTGAAGAATAGGAACGGTTCCTGGTAGCTTCATGTTTGATTCTTCTCAAATCTCTTGTATTTAATTTGCGTCTTTTTTTCTCAGCCCATTTCTTGCGACACTGTTGACTAATTACAACAAAATGTGTGATGGTTCTGTGATTACACCCCAATGTCTGTGCAATTTCACGAATGCTGCATCTCTCTGAAAGATGTTTTACAATTTTTGGCTTTTCAGAGTCAGTTAAATCTTTTTTGGCTTGTTTGGCATGAGGAAAAGAAGCTGCCTAATAATTCTGTACACCTTACTTAGGCCACATCCTCCCTCATTAAAATACAAATACACATAATATGATATGCTTAAATCCAATAACAAGTCAGGTTTATACAGCTTGGAGTTAAAATATGTATAAAAATCATGATATGGTCAAAATACCCACTTGCCTAATAATTGTGCACAAAGTGTAAAACATAATCAAAGTCAATGTAATTTTTCTGGGGGAGAGTCTGTCACCTGCTTGTAAGGATGTTATCTCTTTGCCTGGAAATTTCTCCAGTATGGCATTAAACTCATCTATTTCCATGGAAACAAGTAGGTAGCAAGTCAGAAGCCTGTCTAAAGGTGATTACACTCACTGTAAGAATGCATGAAAGAGTTTTTTGACACTTTAAAAATGTATAAATATTAAAATCAAGAAAAGTAAAGACGTTTGATGCCATAGTGTGGAACATCTCAGGCAAAACAATAACAAGATTAGCAGGGGGCAGATCCTCCACCAGAAAATTATTGCAAATGCACATTTTAACTATGGTGATTACATTCATTTTACAATTTAGCAGCCCTACTACTGTTAATTGTTTAAAATAATCTAACACAAACCTTGTTAGACATAAAACCAAACCAAAGACTCTAAAAAATGTCTCATGACCTTGCTAGGACTTACATCAAAATCCACTCTCTCTCCTTCTGGAATCTTCGGAGGGGCCAAATTAGGAACCAAAGGTCTTCAAAAACAAATACAATACATTATGTACATGTTAAAAAGTATTTCATCAATATTATTATATAACTCCACACATACTTGGGTCTGGGGCGTTCCTCTTCTGAAAAAATGGAAACATTAACACAAAGTAATTCATACATGTTTTTTTTTGTTTGGGTTTTCAATAAATCATAACTGCCTAGTCGTTCAAGTCAATTATTAGTTATGGGAACAAGTGAGAAAACAAACATTGGCTACCAAGTCTCACCTTCCTCCTGGGCATCTTGATCTGAAGTGAAGCAAGCAAGCAAGTAGAGAACGGCATCATGGGATATCAGCCAAGCCACGAGACAAAAGCAATGGCAAGAGAAAGAAAACAAACAGCTGCAATCTCCATCATGCATAGAAACATTAAGATGTAGTTTTACAGCACTGCAAGGATCTATGCACATAATATATAAGATATAATAATAATAGAATGGTAAAGTGGTAAGGTATTGGTGTGAACTATAGTCATGCTAGCATTATTTAGTTTGGAGAAGTGTTAACGATCACTATGTTCCCTAGTCTTATTCCTCACCTTCCTCATGTGCGTCTTCATCACCTGAGCCACCAGTGCCACAGTCGCCATGATGATGTGAACAGCCATGCCAAAAGACAGAAGTAAAACAAAAACACAAGATGCTTTGAACTACATTTCCCATCATGTCAGGGCCGGTTAGAGACTGAGGGAATATGTAGTTTCAAAGATGGAATGGAAGCAAAAATCACTCAGAATATATACCCATTTCTGTAGAATCTAAATACCAAAATAGCAAAAAGCACAAGAAGTAGGATTTTATAGGGTATTCGAACTTCAGCAAACTCACCATCTTCTTGGGTGTGTTGTTCTGAAGCTAACACGGGTGACAAGATGCCAAAATGGAGGATAGTGCAGTAAAGATACGAGCAGCATCAAGGTGTAGCATCCGCAAAGCCAAGAGACAGAGCAGCGGCATTAGTAAATATAAATAAAAACACACTAGATGCTTCAAAACTACATTTTCTATTGTAATAAAGCAAAATGTAGTTTTGATAGTTGTTGGTAGTTTTAAAAGAAGCATAGTTATATATTTCAGCTGAATCTGTAACGTACAGATCACAAATACAAGCAATACAGGGACAACGACTTTAAGGTGAACTATGTAACTTTTTGGTTTGGGGTCCATCACCTGCTTGTTTCTATGGATATGTCATTACTCTGCCTGTAATGTTCCACAGTATGACATTAAACAGCTCTTTTTTACATTTATTCGATCACAAGTGGATTTATAGCTCAAATACAGAGAAAATGAAATGTCACAATGCATGCCACAGTCACAGGGTTGGCAATAACATCTCCACGGTAAAAAGCATTTGATGGACCAGACTCCACCAGAAAAGTTACACAATGCACCTTTAAAAGAAAGTACAGTTTATTGTCCCTTAAATTGCATTAATCTATTATGTTTACAACTCACCTTCTAAGTGGTCTTCTTGCTCTGAAGCCCAAACCAGAGCCAAAATGGTGGACAGTGTAGTGATAAGAGAAGCAGCATCATGGTTATACATGAGCCAAGCCAAAAGAGAGCAATTAGCAAAAATGAAAAAACACACTAGATGCTTCAAAACTACATAATCCACAGGTAGCAAGATGTAGTTTTGACAGTTTTAAGATAAGCATAAATGATATACAATATTTCTGTTGCATCTGTAACATATGGACCACAGATGCACATGGGACTACGACTTTACTTACGTTACATTAACTACTAGGTTATAACTCACCTTCTATTTGGTCTTCCTGCTCTGAAGCCCAGACCAGAGCCAATATGGAATAATGTAGTGATGATAAGAGTAACAGCGTCATGGTTAAAGATCAATCAAGCCAAGAGACAGAAGCAGTGAAGAGCAAAAGAAAAATAAGAAAAACTACAACTCTGTACATGCATCAGAACAAAATGTAATTTACAGCATAAGACAATTAGCGTTCAAGCAATATGTTTATATAGGTATGCGTCATTTTGTCACTATTATGAGTTTTATCTGCACTGGACTCTGTAAAGCTTTGACTGTCAAATATATAGTACATTTTTTCAGTGTTTTGTGTCCGTCACTTACCTTCTACCAGGGCATCAAGCTCTGAAACACCAGCCACACACCCGTCAGCATAAGCAAAGATGGAGGTTGATAGGATGAGAACAGCATTATGGAAATCAGCCATGCCAAAAATAAAAAAATAAAAAATAGGAACATAGAAAAGATGATGTATATGTGAGTATACATTTAGGTTTAAGCACAAACTGAAGCCACTATACCAACAATGCTTTGTATAGCAGAAAAAATTTGCAGAAATGTAAAATGTGCTATGCTTTTAATCGTCTGTTAAAGCATTTTGATGGTATGTGATTTAGAGCAAACAAATGTCAATAGCACAGGATTAAAATGCTTTTGATAAATAATTGTAGCTAAAGCCATTCCTCACCGTCCTCCGGGGTATCTGGCTCTGAAGCAGCAGCCACAAATGTCAACATTAAGCAAAGGCAGCATAATCATGGTCATGATCAAGCATCATGTCAGCAGGATCAAGAACAAAAAGAGAGCAAGGATGAACAGAAAAGCAGGAAGATGTAGCTTAGTTTAAATCAAATGTAACTACAATTCCCCATGGTGTAACATAGCCACAGTTTCAACAAGGGTTTGGGAAATGTAGTTTTATAGTACTTACCATATTTACACTCTATTTATCAAAAAGTTTACTTGAGTTATTTGAAAATATTCTATTTGTGTAAAGATAATTGCAAATTTGCTTTACAAAAATGATATTGAACAAACCTTTGATTCTACAGTTTCTTGTAATCAATACTTTCATAGATTATCTAATTATGTTTTTAAAATAAAATATATCACACACTACTATACACCATCATCCTTTATGTGTGTTAGATGGGTAGTGTACAACTGGAAGTCCATCACTCACCTTCCTCCAAGATGTCTTGCTCTTAGGCACAAAGTCAACACAAGCGATGATGGATGATGTTACAATGCGAGGGGAACCATGGGACAGAGCCAAGCCAAGAGACAGACAGACATACAGACACACAGGAGGCAAAAGTACAATAACAGACTATTGCAGGCTGAACAGGAAGAAAACAGCCAGATGTTCAACTTCCTAAACTGTACTGAAGCCATGTTCACAGCAGTAGCTCTATGCAAAAAGCATAGTAAAATATACAGGCTATTACATGTGAACTGAATGTTGCATTTGTTATTCATGTATGCCCACGTGTATGTACCATTTTATGTCAAATGATCCATACAGAATATACTATATTTCTATAGTATAGATGTACCTTGGTGTGGCTCTGAAAGTCCAGACCAGCCAATAACAACAAAGAATGTAATATACAAGTTAGCGTTCATTGAAACTGAGACAAGGATATTGTGAATTATGGGTATAGTTGTTTATACTGTAGTTTTTGTTTAGTTTTTTTAGTATTTTAAAGTATTGCTTGTAAAGTATTTTGTAAGGTATTTCATATCTTTTTACCTTCTGCCTCTTCCTCTGGCTCTTCTTCATTTTCCGAACAACAAAGCACAAACATAAACTTACAATAAAACAGAGGAGACTGTGTTGGCCCCCCATAATCTTATTTATGCCCTCACAATCTAAATACATTAGTGATACAAATTTATGCTTGTAGACAGTGTTGTCATAAGCAGATTCAGAAGTAACTATAAGTCATCCATAATAATCAGTGATTCTAACATTTTTACTCCAAAATGGGATAAAATTAAAATATATGGATTGCTTGTGTCGCCATAATCTCTCAAATAAAACTGGGAGAGCACTGACAACATGTGGTTCTGCAAGCACAATTTGCATATTTTCACAAAGATAGCTGGTCATACCTTCTGCCTGCTCCTCCCTGAAAGGTAAACAAAAAGAGAAAAATGCATTGGGAAATTGTAAAAAGTACAAATATGGACATGAATAGAACAGATACTTACTCATATTCTTCTTCAACGTCCGACATGGCTGCAAACACACAGATTACATGATTTAGTTGATGTGAGTTGACACTATAAAAAAAGGCCTATTGCTGCCTGTAAGATTAGTTTATTCTAAAATTTGAGACTAAAAGTAAAAGATTATATATATATAATGTGTTTCTCACCTTCCACGGTGGTAGGTCTCTCTCACCCTCATTGAGCTCGGGTCCTCTACCAGAGGCCTGGGAGCTTGAGAGTTCTGCGCAGTATCTTTGCTGTTCCCAGTACTGCACTTTTCTGGACTGAGATGTCCGTTGTTTTTCCCGGTATCTGTTGTAGCCACTCTTCCAGTTTGGGGGTTACAGCCCCGAGTGTCCGATCACCACAGGCACCACTGATGTCTTTACTTTCCAGGCTCTCTCCAGCTCTTCCTTGAGCCCCTGGTATTTCTCTAGCTTCTCGTGTTCCTTTTTCCTGATATAACCATCGCTTGGTATTGCGATGTCAACCACCACCACGGCTCTGCTCTGTTTCTTATCCACCACCACTATGTCTGGTTGGTTCGCCATCACCATTCTGTCAGTCTGTATCTGGAAGTCCCACAGGATCTTGGCTCGGTCATTCTCCACAACCTTTGGAGGTGTTTCCCACCTTGATCCTGGGGTCTCCAGCCCGTACTCTGCACAGATGTTTCTGTACACTATGCCCGCCACTTGGTTATGTCGCTCCATGTATGCTTTCCCTGCCAGCATCTTACACCCCGCAGTTATGTGCTGGACTGTCTCAGGAGCCTCTTTGCACAGTCTACACCGTGGGTCTTGTCTGGTGTGGTAGATCTGGGCCTCTATTGCTCGAGTGCCCAGGGCCTGCTCCTGAGCAGCCAGGATCAGTGCCTCTGTGCTGTCCTTCAAACCAGCCCTCTCAAGCCATTGGTAGGATTTCTTGATATCAGCCACTTCAGTTATGTTCCGGTGGTACGCCCCATGTAGGGGTTTGTCCTGCCATGATGGTCCCTCCAGCACCTCTTCCTCTGGACCCCACTGTCTGAGACATTCTCTGAGCACCTCATCTGCCGGGGCCTTGTCCTTGATGTACTCAAGGAGCTTGGATGTTTCATCCTGGACAGTGGTTCCCACACTCACTAGTCCTCGGCCCCCTTCCTTCCGGCCTGCATACAGTATATATATATATATATATATATATATATATATATATATATATATATATATATTATATATATATATATATATACCTCCAAAGGTTGTGGAGAATGACCGAGCCAAGATCCTGTGGGACTTCCAGATACAGACTGACAGAATGGTGATAGCGAACCAACCAGACATAGTGGTGGTGGATAAGAAACAGAGCAGAGCCGTGGTGGTTGACATCGCAATACCAAGCGATGGTAATATCAGGAAAAAGGAACACGAGAAACTAGAGAAATACCAGGGGCTCAAGGAAGAGCTGGAGAGAGCCTGGAAAGTAAAGGCATCAGTGGTGCCTGTGGTGATCGGAGCACTCGGGGCTGTAACCCCCAAACTGGAAGAGTGGCTACAACAGATACCGGGAAAAACAACGGACATCTCAGTCCAGAAAAGTGCAGTACTGGGAACAGCAAAGATACTGCGCAGAACTCTCAAGCTCCCAGGCCTCTGGTAGAGGACCCGAGCTCAATGAGGGTGAGAGAGACCTACCACCGTGGAAGGTGAGAAACACATTTTTTATATATATATATATATATATATATATATATATATATATATATATATATATATATATATATATATATATATATATATATATATATATATATATATATATATATATATATATATATATATATATATATATATATATATATATATATATATATATATATAATATCGAAATTTTAACCCACAGTTGTTGGTGCACAAACAGTAGCTAAAATTACATATTATGTGAAGTATTTAGATCCTCGAAGACAATAGTGCTGATGTGTCCTCTACTTATTTCTATTATTACCACAAGATAAAATACACTGGCTGCCACTCGTTATCAGTCCATCACAGGTGGACATACTCCTCATGCCCCTGCCATTATTCTCTGTGGACATTAAATGACACGCTCATACATTCTTTTGGCTATTAATGGGGCAGGCAGGCTGCCATTGTCCCCACATAAAACCAGGCTAAGACACACTGGTACGATGGGGGAGCACTGACACAGATCTGGCAACGCACAAGCATCCTGATTGATGAGGAGACAACAGGTGAGTATGCCACACAGGTTCTCACATAGTAAGAGTAACAGATAGGGTTTCTAACACTTTCTAGACTCAACTATGGCCCTTTAGCATCCAGCGTGCAAAAGGAAAACTCATCCCAATGACAGCACTTCCCACGTCAGAAGTCAACGATCACTTGACCTGACCATTTCGCCATCTATTCTGGATGCTGCTCAAACAGACGTAAATCATGCTCCTCAGTGTGGCCTAGATCCAACAACAGTGAGAGGCTGGGAAAGGTCAGAGTGTGAGCACAGTGGAACTTAACTTTTTACTACTAAACTCTATATAGTGTTTGAATAGCTTTGTCTACTGTCTACAATTTGAGTGCAAACTAAACCAATTTGCACATATGTGGTCACAAATGTATACTGTGTGAAGTGAATACTGTGCTGAACAAATACAAACTAACAGAAGAAAATCTATGCTTCACAGTATAAATGGCAGAAATGCTTATTATATCAAACAAATACATAGAACAAAAACAAAAACTAGGTATGTTACTTCAACACTATGTAGCCTACTACATTTGAATATCAATGCTAACTTAACCACATACTGTGTCCAGTACTGCAAGGTACTGCTGCTCCTTATATACTAGTATCTATGATGCTGTTGATAGTATTTTTCAGCTGCTGGACTGATACAGCTAACAATAACACAATCAAGCACATACTAGTAATGCAGAACTACTTCTTTATGGCTTCTATCTTGCCTATAACATTTAACACATTTTACTTAATACTGGCATAAATACCCTTACTCTAAATTTACACTATGAGAGCGCACGGTATGGATCTCCCTCACTGTGGGATTACAGATGACAGTAGCATTGATGAATGCTTGTCATCACCTCAGTGACAGCAGGGCAGTCCTCTCGGAAACTGTCAGTTTGAGCTAAAGGGGGAAGGGAGGCTGAACCTGTGCCGGGATTCTGGACACGATTCAAGTTCCACAGGCCACTGTCATCAGCTACAGCTCAGATTATTTTAGTCAAGGACATGTGTGGAACCACATAGGGTAAAGACTAGACAACACCGCGCTTTTATGATGGCTACTGTCCTGTGGTAGTTTGTCAATCTTTTATCTTGATTTATGACCTGTTTCACAAGCAGTCTAAGTTTGTAATGAATACATGTTACAAGCAAATGCTCCAACAGTTGGGCTAATGATTATAAATGTTGTAATTCAAATCAACATGTCAGATAAACCACGATAGGTGCGGGTGGTATTGTCTGTGTGTGGTATGAGAAAAAGTGTGTTGTGTAGACCTTCTGAATATTTTCTATTCATATCACGCTACACTGTTTTCACACAGTGCCCCTATTCTAGACACATCAAATCCCAAGTTACATCACACACATGAGAAGAAGGAATGTCCACGGATATGAAAAGATTAGATATAAGAGGCACTGACAAGTTGACAAGTTACTTGATTGCTAAATTGCTTCTCCAAAAAAAAAAAAAAAAAAAAACTGTTGTGTCCTTAACTCACCCCACAAATGAATGCACTATTACATGTTTAGAAGCATTTATTCTACAATGTGGTGCTGTACTGAGCTGCTAATGAGACAATAACACAGAGAGACTGTCCAGGCCCACACAGTCCATCAGCCCAAACAGCACTGGGTTTTGTAGACACCTGTTTGGTAGCTGGACACTAAAGTTAGCTAAAGCCTGATCTCATGCTGTTAGCATTTGGAGCTGTTGCCACGGAGAGGACAAAGACAGCAATAGTGTTCCCAAACAAACTATTTAACATTGTAATGCTTGTGCTCAGCTGAAAGAGCTTAACTAGGGATAACTCACCGGATTCCAGCATCATTCAAATCAATCCAGCTCAATAACTTTTTAATGTTTCAAAATAGCAGACCTGTAGATGCAATAGGACCAGCAGTATACTGGACATACTGAAAAAAATCTCAAATAATGTTTATGAACAGCAGAGTTCAAAAGTAATAGAGCCTTTCCGATAGGCCGGGTTTATAAAAAGTACTCTTTGGTCATGTCTAAGTGACAGTGATGAGCTTGGGTCATCTGTCAGTAAAGAAATGTGGTGTGAAGCAGAATCCAGACTTTGGAGAAATTGGGTAGTTTTAATGTAGTGTTAAATGGCAATAATAAAAAGTCTGTCTACTTTATAAAAAAAGAAATGAATCAAAAATCAAGATTTGGTCAACACCCAGGAAATTTTTTTGCCATATCGCTCAGATCTAGGGTCCAGTCTGTGTTTTTTTCTGAGCCAGATAAGGCCCATATAAGATAGAACATGAGATGGTCCTGGTTTGGTTCTGTCTTGACAGGTCCCACAAGTAGCATTAAAGAATGGAGAAATATGATGTTTTTAAGTTTACCGTGACCTTATCCCTTTGGTTTTACATAACACCTTCATCTATGTCAACAACAACTTAGTTAATTTTGAGATTATTTTGAGAAACAACACTGAAACAATAAAAAACAAAGTATACAGTGTTCCCATATCAACTATTCAATTGTGCAAGTATCTTCTTTCAAGCCTTTTTGATTGTGATGTTATAGATTTTAAACAAAAACATCAGTATTGAAACCTAAATTGCATTATTCATCTGTTTTTTATTTACCACTGTAAATGTATTGCGTTTGTATCATTTACTCAGAAATGTTGGCATTGCAATAACCAAAAGACCCAAAAAACCATGTAACAAACACACAGACATACCTGCAGTGAAGTGATGAGCACTGGCAGGGACACCGGGGGACAGTGGCAGACTGGAGAATGACTATTGTGTGGAGCCAGGGGTTTTATACCAAATGTGGGAGCGGCACTTGAGTGTGTAAGTGGGGATATAACGGTTATACATTACCAGAATAACTGTGAGCATGGCTGCAGGGCCAGGGCCACATGTGGATTAGAAAGATGAGCAGCCTCTGGGATAAGGCAAGAACAGAGGGATGACCTCACTGGACAAATGCACAGCTACCGCCACCACACACCAACTGTACACAGGACAGGCAAGAACTCAGAGTTTAACACATGCCAGCTCTAATAGTTAATTTTACTCAATAGCCAATACTCTACTGATTTATTCCAACCTTTATTCCAAAAAAGTTAATTTGGTCTTTTCCTCAGATAACTTTTGTTTTTCTAACAGTCCATTTTGTCTGTCAAGGTAAAAAAATGAAAACAAAAAAGTCAAAGTAAAAGATACAAGGTTTTCAAGTCAATACCCAAGGATGACTGGTTTTCTTTTATTCACTGGCCACAGAGGCTAGTCCTCAAAAGTCAGAAAACAAAGTGGTCAGTTTGAAAGTGTTGGTGTTGTTTTTATTGAATGTATTTAATCAATATATTTTGCTAAATGTGTGCGTACATAACATAACAATAAAGTGGTAAAGGGGTGTTAGGTGAATAAAATTCATCTGAGTGGCTAGTGAATGTATAGTCTCTACGACGACTACTTTCACGGTTTTAGTTGGAAAAATGTTCATGTTAACACAGATGTCAAGACAATCAATATATATATATTATATATTTATTTTTAAATGAATGCAACTTTGCTTTGTGGTGGTAGTTGAGGAGCTGTGCAATGGCATGGAGATCGTTCTACAGTACCATTATGATGTTACAGCATGGATTCAAAGCATCAGGTGACACACAGGCAAAAAATATCAGGGTCTGTAAGCATCTAGCAAATAGTTTCTGAACGTCTGAGGGTCTGATAGTCTAAACAAAGGTTTAATATTGTCCATTTATAAATGCTGTCTTTACCCTGGGAATCTTTCAGTTTCTGTAGTTTGTATCATAAATCAACAAGCATCATCCAGGGCACTGAGCAGAACATTTTGCACTTTAACTGTACTAAGCATCAAGTATGAAATGAGATTATTGTTCACATGATCCAGAAATAGGCAACTGGCAGCGAACTTGATTTTTCACGAATAAAGAGCTCTCCCAATTAGTGTGTGGATGATTGCCAAAGTAGTAAAACAATTACACATTTTATCCTTGTAGAAATTGGTGCCACACATCTAATTTCATTCAAAGTAAATGCTGGCAATTTCAACATGCTAGAATTGCTTTATTTTTAATAGAGAAATAAGCAAACCATGTTATGTGTTCAAGAAATACAAAATTGATTTATTACTTTACATATAAACAATTTAAAAAAAAAATATATATATATATATATATATATATATGATTTATGAAGATACAACAGGCATAGTAACTGTAAGGATCTGCAGAAGAAAGAAGACGACGTTAATGGCATTCACATATAAACATCGTATTTGATCATCTAATATTGTAAAATTATGTACTTGAGTAGTGGTGTTGTACTGGGCCATGCTGCTTTCCTGGTTAATGAGAAAAGGGTGGAAAATGTCCATGTGGTACAGAGAAGGGCGGGCATTCAGAACCAGTCTGTCCTCTCCCACGTCCAGCAGCAGAGAGCGAACTGAAGTCTGATCAAACAGTTAGTAAAAAAAAAAGTGAGTATGGTAATATTATATTATTATGCATGTCTTGTGAAGTAATCCAACGACCTCTGGGTGTTATGTTTAAACCATGTCAAGCCATATTAGATATAGGGTAACTATTTTAACATGGTTATTTAATGTGTGATTGGAAAGAGACTGAGTGTGTGTCCTCTTACTATTCCAGGAAGCTTTATCTCTGCTATGAGATATTGTGGATCACCAGCTGGGGGCTCAACCAGCAAAGTGAAGTCAGGTCTGTGGACAGAGAACTCGTCATCACCATGAATCTACAATGGACACGTCATAAATATTTGGAAATGGACAATTTACCTTTTAGCAGCAATCTGGTTCTCCCTGAAGTAGAAAACAAACAGACAACAGTATTACAAATAACTAAAAATAATGTATTTATCAAAAGTTGAGAAATATAACTTTCTAACTATTATATTATTATTTGGGTTTATACCAGTGTCAAGTGAGTAATTTTAGTTATTGTTTAGCTTTTCAACAAAATGTAACTTTTCATTTCATCGGTGTTCAAAAACTAGACTAAATTTATTTTTGTGACATACTGAGGTTGTAGCTCTTGGATAACTGGTCGAGTCTTTGTCCGAATACTCTGTTCTCCAATTGAACCCAGAAACTTCCTATTCTTAAGGACTTTCCACTCTGTTGGAGGGAGAAACACACAGATAAGACTGTAGGACAAACACAAATCTTCAAACAGAGATAGTGGGTACCTCTGCTCAGCTCCAGATTATACTTATTTTCCAAGCCTTCCACAGACACCAGGATTATAAACTGCTGAAAGAGTGGATCCTTCTGCAACCACAAACAAATCAAGTTTTTCCTCATCTTTCACAAGATTAGCAACAACAGGATCAGTCTTGTAGATCCTTTATATAGAATTATGCACCAGGTTTTCTTGGTCTTGTTCATTCTGTCGTTTTTCTTAGTATACATGTTTTGGGATTTTCATGTATTATATTATTGTATTATATGTAATTATTAATTATAGTCAATCAACAGTAAAGGTGGCAGTGATAATGTTGATGTTAATGTTTATATATGAATTTTGACATTGCTTTGACTGTTTAATTAGATTTGGTTAAAATAATACTATACAATGAATGGTTGAGTACACACCCGACAGGTCTGGAAAAAGTCTTGGTTTATGACCACATCATACGCAGTGCAGCCTTGGGAGCCTGATACACACAAGAAGAACACCGTTGAAACTCTCTTATATAATGTGTCATTCAGTACCACACACTTAATCATCACTTTCATACAGCAGTTTTATTTGATCAAGTCTGCACTTGCAAAATCATTTTAGATCTCTATTAGCAGAATGGATTCCCTAACTTCTCCACCAGTTTGCCTAACAGAAACCAATGGATGAGACTGAGATATAATACATACGGCTCATTGCGCAAATTCACTAACTGTAGACATGTAGTGAGAAATCTATAGTTTAAACAAATTTGCTGGAGAATGAATAATCCATACTGTTATCCATTTCTGTGTGTGGCTCTCCGAGACTCATAGGAACCCTGTATCCACTGGGGTCCTCAGACTGGAGCAGTTCCACCAGCTCATCCCGGGACATGTCTGGAGGGGGCGGGACTGAGTTTGACTGACAGATATTAATGAAAACCTTCTGCTTTGATGGCTCTAGTACAGTCTTGATACATATGCCTAGAAAGAGGAGCACGAAGAAGTTGTAAGGTTACATTTTTCAATTGATCAAACACAACAAATCATAATGAAAAGTTACACACATAATGGACAACCGCTTACCTGGCTGTGGTTTTATAACTCTAGAATCAGGGTTTTCATCCTGCATTTTTCCCATTGTCTGTTAAAAATATAGACGATGATTAGAATCATTTACATTTCTTTCTTGAAAAAAGCAGGAAAAGGAAAACATTCTGGGGTATTGTACAATTGGCAGTCCACACATAAGAGGTATATTTGAAACTAGTGCTGTCATGCGATTAAAAAAATTGAGAGATTAATTAATTATGATCTGTAATTAATTAATCTAATTAATCTCATTTTAATCTCACCTAAAAATTGCTGAGAAAAGCCTTCAATTTGAGGTATTTTCATTTAAATTCATTATTACATTATTGTGGCAGATCAAAAGACTGATATAGATTTAAAAAAGTGACTTTATAAAGTCATTTATTGTTTAACAAATCTCTCCAATTTGGCTGTTGAGCCCAAGTCTCCATGAATAAGAAACTGTTTGCTGTAAAGTAGCAAAGACGAGGAAATCTGAACATAATAACTTTTGTCTACTTAAAGACAATAAAAAGTCCAGTCTTTCCTTAACCATATTAAAAATATTATTGATAGAGAAATGCTTTATATATGAGATCACTGGTTTTAGTCCTGGTTTAGACCTGCTTTAGTCCTACTTTAGTCCTAGTTTAGTCCTGGAATGGATTAATCCTGGTTTTAGTCCTGGTGTTAGTTCTGGTTTAGTCCTGGTTTAGTCCTGGTTTTAGTCCTGGTTTTAGTCCTGGTTTTAGTCCTGGTTTAGACCTGGTTTAGTCCTGGTTTAGTCCTGGTTTAGTCCTGGTTTACTGAATTTAGTCCTGGTTTTAGTCTTGGTGTTAGTTCTGGTTTAGAGGCTCACAGGAGGAAGCGCGGTTTACGCAGCGTACGCGAGAAAACACGATCCACACGCGGCTCACGGGAGCACGTCGGTGTCCGCGCAGTGTCTACGGAAGGAAACGTGGTCCGCGCGTTCTCAGGTTAATGACGATGATGAAGGTGTGTGTTTGTGTTGTGTTGTGTTTGTGTGCGTGTCCCCTCATGTGGCAGGTCACTGTAGGACAGTAGTGCAGACATCAAGAGCCTATGCAGGTTGTTTTCACCAGTGACATTTAAGTTGTAGGCGATATTATATTTGTTATTTTCTTTTATATTTCACGTCGGGAGAATAATTTCCACGACACGAATGCGTTTTTACCTGTGCACTGCTGCCTCTGTTCTACTGGCTCTACGACCTCGTCCATTGTGCGACTGACGCCGTAAACGTCGCTCTTACTGCGCGTGTTTTGTGCGGGTTTCCGACAATGAGTGGAATTGCCGAAATTAAAAAATGTATAAATGTGTTTTTTGTTTGTGCGTGTGTGTGTGTTGTTGTCCCAACAACACATAAAAACAGGTTTTATAATAAAGCAACTCACATACAGAAACACTAAAGTTAGAGATTAAAAATGAGATTAACGCGATTAAAAAACATAACGCGCTAAATATGACTGTAATTAATTAATCGCAATTAACACGATAATTTGACACCCCTATTTGAAACTGCAGTGAGAATTCAAAAATACAAAATTATACCAGACATCTTGATCTCCACATAAGACAATATGTTAATGATTTATTTGAATATTATGATCATCTGCCTGCTGTAAATAAACCATTTTCACTACTTTTAAGTAGTTGTAAGTATGACGTTATCGTTTTAGTATAATGTTAAAGGAAAGGTCAATTGACAGCTTTACCCCCTTGGCACTGAATAAACTGTTCTGACCTGCAGGAGCAGATGCTGGTACAGCTCCTCCTGCTGCTGGAGCTCGAGCTCAGAGTTCAGAAGAGATGAGTCCGTTGTCATGACGATGAGAATGGGGGACGAGGGTTCACTGAAGAGACATACAGAGAAGAGAAGTCAATGCAAATAATTTCCCTCAGTCCCGGTTAAAATGCTATAAGTTATGTCTATGGGTTTCACAAGCTGTGCATTTCTATAACAGTTAGAAAGTTTTGCCTTTAAAATACATGATTAAAAAATGCAGCATAACGTGACATCCGTAGCCTGGAGTTTATACCTGGGCTCCCTTTTTTTCTTGCTGCATTAAGATTTGGTGTAAATAAATGTTTACCTTTTCCGAAGCTTGAGTGAGATGTGTGAGACAAGACCCCTGAATGAGAATGGCAACAAATGGAGTCAAAGGGAAGAACACGCTGCAGTAGACTACAGCAGTGCAGCAGCGTGTGGTTAGCTTGGGCTAAAGCTAAAAATAGTATAAATGTCTACGCTGAGAGTTTGGTGAATGAGCGGCTGACTGCAGGTGCTATAGAGACATTTGTGCTGTCTGAAAGAACAAGGAGGACATGTCCGTATCACTACAAAATGATGCTACAAAACCAAGCAACCAAAACAAACCAAAACGGTCTTCTTCAGCCTTCAGTGCTAATGTTGGCATGCACCTGAAAGGCGCATTACCGCCACACTCCGGTAGAGAGTGGGAAGACTCCAGAAGTCCTTACATCGTTTCAAACTTAAAATCTGGTCTTTTACTCAGTACAATTTAACCTATAGATTCTAACCTTAGAAAAACGTCCGCTTATGTTAGGCTATAGGAATGTTACCCTATCTTAAACTAACTTAAAACTGTAACCTTCATAAGGTAGGCCTACTGAATTTACAGGGAGAGGAGATGAGCACATTGGCACATTTCCACTCAGACACTGAGGGTACACCGAGAGTACATTGAGCAGCCCTAACACTGAACCTCCATTCAGCTGATGGAGGCCAGTCGCAGACAGAATGTTAATTAGTGGCACCCAGGTGGTTTGCATCCGAGAGTGGGAATGTAGGAACCACATGTGTAGTTGAGACACACACACAGTTCTATCTCTCCCCAAAATACCAGATTTATCAAAGGACATCAAATGGGATAGGATCATAGATTCCTCTGCAATTGTTTCATAAGACATTAAGTTACAACATTCACATAGTTTCCTGTACTCTTGGATGGCAGGCCTATGTTGTGCAAATATACCAAAGGCAACTGCTAAAAATTGAATGACACCTTAAATAGGCTAGTCGAATCAACTTCCAGTAGCACATTTACTGGACTATTAGCCTCCAGAGCATTCCGTTTGAACTGTAATAGGAATATTATAAGATTTCCTTTGTACATTTTACCTGGACACAAAACATGTAGTATCTGGTGCATTATAACTTTGCACTGGTACATTAAAAAAGCCAAGGCATTAATAGACACCACAACAACAAGAACAAGGCACAGTGTATCTGGACTATGACATAATAAGGATTAGTGGTTAAACATATCCTAATATACAATATATAGAAATAGAATCCCATCATGCACAAAAACATCTTGTGAGCTTTCAGGAACAGTCAGATTATTTATTTTTGTAGTGTTGAGGAAAACACCATTTTCCTCTTGTGTTAATTTCTGCTTAGATAAAGAATACACTTGAAACAGAAATAAAGTCCAGATAATTTACTTACATACAACTCACATACAAGAGAGCAATACTTGTACAATGAGTCTGTGTCAACATTCCCATGCAGACTCAATGTTTACACCTATGCAATGAGTTTTATACTCAAACTACAGTGGGAGGCTACCATGGATTAGACTTAGTGCCTCTTCATTGGTGCACAGACCAGCCAGGCCTGTTGGCACGTTGCACAGTCCAGTCAGCCTCCATCCGGGGTGTTATCTGGGTGGCAAGTCATGGCATCATCCCTGTTAATAGTTCTTGTCCTATTTAGTTAGTTTGCTATTAGATGGATCATGCATTTGTCATGACATATACTGGATCCATGAATCTCACAGCTGTCATCATAGTCCGTATCGTCACATGTCCTCGATACAATAATGAACTACGGCAGTGGTTAAAAAACATATCTGAGGCTAGTTATTTATTCTAACAGTAGCACGATGACCATTTTGTAGAAGAAGAAAGGACTGTGTAGAATGAAGCAGCTCACTTTGCAGGCTTATCATTCTCTCCACAGACATGCGCTCTGCTCGTGGCCTGGTGCAGGTTGAATTTCTCATTAGAGTTCAAAACCTTTGTACTTCACTCCACTGCAGCACATACTTTGAGAAACATCCAGATAAACCAAGATAGTATCCTATCTAGTCCACTTTGGCTACATGTTCACTCCTCACATGATGTACTTAAGTCCATGTCATGCTGTTCATGATCTGACGTCTGTTTGTAGTTATGGTTCATCTGAAAAAACATAATGTCAGAAATTCAGTTGTTAAAAAGTTTAATAATTAATGTTATCTCTCTCTCACCTCTATGAGATGTAAATCATCCCGTAAATGTCCATTATTCTGTGATAAATGACTCTGAAAGACATAAGTTAAACAAGTTAAACCTAAAATGATGCAGTGAGACCATTTTGTAGAACAAAGCTAAATATTATATTTTCTGAATGGTCAAGCATCCTCAAGATGAGACAGAAAGCTGAAACTCATGAATGTCCACACTATTTATATTATTCACACTTATCCAGTGTTGCAACAACCATTTATTCACCCTTTCACGCACACGCACACACACATGCACACACATTCATAAACCAGTCTATGCAGTACTAGAGGAAGCAGAGGTGAAGAAAATTCACTATAAATTCAAATGAAGGGATTAATTAGACAAAATGTATAACGTATCCATGTTTATGCATTTTACTATAAACTTAGCTAGCTAAAATAGCTAGCGTACTGTGATGGAAATATATATTGTGTAAAGATTTCTCTCAATCTGTTTTTGTGTAAATTAATGTGATTTCTACCTTAGACCAGACCAGTCATTAACATGTGTAAAGGCTCAAAAAACACAACTGTCTCCACTCTCAGGAAGCCCTTTGTTGTACTACCAGTCCTCAAATGTACGTTATTAGCACAAGTCTGAGCCACTACACTATGCTTTGATTTGTATGTAACTTTTATTTGTGGATAAATACTCAGAGCTCAGATGCTCTAGGGCAGGGGTGTCAAACTAATTTTGTTCTGGGGGCCGTATCCAACGTACTTTGATCCCAAAGGGGCCAGATCAGAAAACCCATGTCATATAAACCCCAAAAATAGCAATAAATTCAAATATTTGTGCAGAAAAACGCAAATGTATTACAGAAATCTTTTTAAATTGATGAACTCTTTCTTTTACAAAATATTATATTATTAAGAACTTGAAACTTTAAGAAAAATGCAATTTCAACACAACGTTTTAACTTGTTTGCAAATAGGAATAAGTCCATTTTTGTTGTAAAATCCTGCACTCGGCTCCACTTTTTTCATGTTGGACATTTTTCTGATGAGGGTGTCATGGTCAACAGTCAAAACCATTGTCCTTTAAGAGTGTTTGGAAAGAGACAAGTCTTCATTTGTGCTGCTCTGGTGGGAGGGGCCACGTACAGAGACGCTGGAGATGCTGCTATGCTAAGCACCACAGAAAATTACCAATATTTTAGTAGAAAGTATAATTAAAATATTTTAGTAGAAAATCAGCCGAGGGCCAGATTAAAGGTCTTGGAGGGCCGGATCTGGCCCCTGGGCCATATGTTTGACACCTGTGCTCTTGGGGTAAGAGGGACTTGGAGGGGGGAGGGGAGACTGGAGACAGGTGACTTGGTCAGGGCAGGCCTAGGTCCTGTCCATATCTGCTGTAACAAAGAATAACCCTTTGTCTGTATTCCAAAAACTCATCGGGCTCCACAAATGGTTTTTATAATTATTTGTCATCGAGAGATACATAATTTTTTCCACAACAGTACTAATGCAAGTTAATGTTGGTGAATACTAATAAGATGCACCCACCTATATAATACAGCAGACTACATTGTTGCTTGAGTCAAAGACAGGACTGTGAGCTCCTTAGGTGCTGCTTTTAAGATAACTCTCAGCTGACCAGAAGATCCTCCGCACATACACACACTATTACAGACTACAAGAACTGTAAACACATACAGTTCTTTTTCTGTCCTGCCTGGAGTGTACTTAGCTGTGCAGTTTACTTTTGCCTAGCTACACTTTTAGCTTTTCCTATGTAAAACTCAATAAACCATTGTGACTTTACATTACAGGTTAATGGTCCAACATATGTACAAAAGCCACTAACAAAGCAAATTTTGGATTCAACACGAGCAGGTGCTTTAAGTGATTAAAATACTTTCTTTGGGTTAGGGTTAGTTTTTTTTTTTTTACCTTTTCACTCTCTGATGTGCGGTGTCTTTTCCGAACAAAAAACACCAACAGCATATTGGCAATCAAAGACAGCCCCAACATGGTGTACGCAATTCTGTTGGTGCCCACTAGAACACAACATGAATTAATAAATATTACAAATGTCTGTGAAAAAAAAATTGATAAGAAAAGTGAAATACCTTCATTTGCTTGATTCTTATCTAAAAAAATCTAAAATTATAATGGTATAGTTTTTATTACTGGGACAATGTAAAGAAGTATTTATATATATTTATATATATTTCTATCTTTTGTACTGCTCTAGAAGTAATTTGTTTAATTACTTCATCCAGTACCATTGTTCCCCGTTATGCACATTATGCACATTACGCACATTACGCACATTACTAATGCACATTACGAACATTACGCACATTACGCACAGAGCCTAGGGCACCAAGTGCTTTCATCGATTTCCATTGCCCAGGGTGGGCCACATCACAGCTTCATCAAACATAAACCTGACAGAAGCCAATATAAACATCCCGTGTTTGTCTTGTATAGTAAATCACTGCTGCCTAGATACAAGGATAGACTTGCCAAGGATAGGATAGGCTTGCCAAGAATCACCTAATAACAAAGACGCAGTCGACTGAAAGTTATATTACACAGTCCAAAATGTGAGGAGGATACAGACAACTGGACACATTTCTATTTGTGAAACCGGTGTCATCTTAACAATTTCCTGTACTCACAACAAACACTGACAGCATTTTTTCCCCCCATTTATTTAGATGTCATCCTGCTACTTTGGATTTGCCAGGTTCTCTCTTTAAAGGCACTCTAAGCCTATAATTTCAGCGTATATCAAAATCACAGTTTGTTTGGTTACCTTTAGAAATGTACAATTCCGTATTATATTGTTCACTGCAGATAACAAATTATCCTGTCCCAATATTTGACTGTTAATAATTACATAATTAATATCAAAGCATCCTTCAAAATATGGAATCTGGAACAATATTTTTTTGTAGCCGCATCTGACAGATTCTTATTTTGTTGTTGTTCCATATTATTTGTAACCTGATTCATCAGCCGGCATCTGACCTCGGAGTGTTAGAATTTGTTCGCTCGACGGTAGGCGGGTACTTTTTATCATTTAACCAATCGCTGCTATTTGGTAGTCACGTGTGTAATGCGCCGCTAGCGGGGCTAACTAGTATATTAAGCTTTTCCCATATCCCATATGAAAAAGGGCAATAAAGTCTTTTCCCCTTGATGAAATTCACCAAGCATTCTCTTTATTCTGGCTTTAAATCCTCGATCTGGGGAATTGTTGACAACACTGAATATATGGCTCTTTGCTGACTGGCTGGTGCCCGAACTTGCACTTTCGGGGTTTTTGCAAACTGTCTATTGTATTTTGATTCCTGACCTAGCTGCTGGGGAGAAATGAAATTGAGCAGAGGCAGTAGGCGCCAGCCTGGCTATATTATATGAGCTGTTGATGGTCGAATAACAAACTCCTAAGAGTTAACTATTAGTGTCTAGCAACTTGCTGCAGAGTTGCATTCTGCTATTTATTATTTATTTATTGCTGCTCATATTTTCAACAATATTGTACATTTTACTTAGAGAAAGGGTTTTTGGGCTTATTCTGCAGTGCAGCTGTTATTAGTGGCATAATTTTTTTTTTCTAGCAATATATCACACTTCAAAGCATGTTATGGTTATCCTTACCAAGAGGAGAGCCTGAGGTTTTTTGGGGAGGACTGGGGTTCGATGCGTTCTCTGTGGGAGTAGAGGTGCTCATAGACACTGGAAAAGTTGTTGCTTTTGTTGGTATTGTTGGTGTTGGTGCTGTTGTTGTTGTTGTTGCTGCTGTTGTTGTTGGTGTTGTTGCTGTTGTTGTTGGTGTTGTTGCTGTTGTTGTTGGTGTTGTTGGTGTTGTTGCTGTTGTTGTTGGTGTTGTTGGTGTTGTTGTTGTTGTTGTTGTTGTTGGTGTTGTTGCTGTTGTTGTTGGTTGTTGTTGTTGTTGTTGGTGTTGCTGTTGTTGTTGTTGGTGTTGTTGTTGTTGTTTGTTGGTGTTGTTGCTGTTGTTGTTGGTGTTGTTGCTTGTTGTTGTTTGTTGGTGTTGCTGTTGTTGTTGGTGTTGTTGGTGTTGTTGTTGGTGTTGTTGCTGTTGTTGTTGGTGTTGTTGGTGTTGCTGTTGTTGTTTCTGTTGTTGCTGCTGCTGCTGCAGTAATTAGACCTAAAAGTGCAACACAAGGCAATGTATGTTTCATTTACATTATTATTATCTAATAAAATCTGTTTATCTTGATTGGTGCTCCTTGCCATTGTATTAGTTTTGTGGTAGTGGCAAAAGATCATCCATGATGTTTGTAGCTGCCCAACAATAAACAAATTCACGCTAAAGCATAGAGAGATTGTGACAAGTGAAATAAAGTGGTAGGCTTACTTACCAAATCTCAGTAACAGCTTATTAGCCACATCTAAAAGAGCAAAAAAGAAAAAGGATAAAGTTAAGAGATTTCAACAAGGGATGCTTATATCTAGTTAGTCCTTGTGCCTTGTTAAGGGAAATTTGTGTATCTGAAGGTACATTTATAGCGATAATTTTGGCTGTGGTGGTTCAATTACCATGAAAAGTATTTTTACAGGGAGTTTCATCCCAGTAGGACCAATTTTGGTGATGTGAGAAGTTTTGTAGACACTGAGCGTGTTTCGGATATTTGTGTATCCATAGGCTTCCATTATAAACTCATTTTTTTGACCTGAACTCAAAATAATTTTTGGTGCAAGTTCAAATTTTTTTGGAGCAAACCCAATGAATCATCCTGATCTGATCAATTTTGGAGACACGAGAAGTTTTGTGTACACTGAGAGTTTTTCAGAAATTTGTGTATCAATTGATTTCCATTATAAACTCATTATTTGACACTCCCTCACAAAATCAAGGTGAAAATAATTTTTACTTTTTTTTTTCATTTCTCTGCAATAAAAATGGAATGAATTTTAGAAAAAAATAAAATTAAAATAATAATAAAAAATGTGCCTCCTTTTAAACCCTCCCCTCCATGGCCTCTATTGTCACCCTACACAAAACATAGACACACTTAGACAATTTGTGCCTGGAAAACCAGATGAAACTAGAGAAAGCCACCAAAATGGACTGTATGTGTTGTGTATGTGACTGTAGTGAATATCTTTGAGTCAAAATGGTTGGAGTAAAAAAAAAAATATTTCAAGGAACGTTTCTGTGGCTATTCAAATCCATGGCTCTAAAAAACAAAGCAACAAAAAACAAAAAAAAGTGTTTCTTGAAAAAGACAAAAAATCAAAAATCAAAATCATGAAGGTAAGCGTTCATTTAAAAGCCTAGGCTTATGTCGATTTGTATAGTCTGATATAGTGTAAGAGGGAAGTAAACATGCCTTGTGAAAAGATGAGAAAAAATTTGAACTTTGGAAAGTCAATTAAAAAAACAAGAACCTTTGAATAATATTAATGTTTGATGATTTTATGGCAGTTTAAAAAATGAAATACACAATTTGTATGAAACACTCCCAGTGTGACTTTTTTCCAAATGAACTTTTCTCAAAAACAAAAAATGACCCAAACTCCATATTCACACTGAACATCCACACTGATAGGCCCGTAAAAAAAAAAAAAAAAAATGCTTATAATAGAAGTGTCTTTTTTTCCCCCCCAAATTTGCAATAGGTGGTATGGGACAAATACTGGCACATCTAATGGGTTATTAAATTATGGTAAATTATAATCCCAGTCTGCCATTTTGAAGATAACCCCTTCATGAAAAAAAAATCTTTGAAATACATTAATGTTTGACTTTGATTTGATGGCACAAAATGCACATTTTTTACCAAACACTCCCAGTGTTCACACGTTTTCAACAAGGCACAAGGGTTAGTTATTGGCTTAACAAATCAAATGCATAAATACAAATATGTGAATTGAATGTTGGGATTTTCTATACATGTACTGTATGTAGGGTCAGAGTAGTTGTGGATATTAATTGATCAAAGTGAATTTAGGTGAAAGTTACTGGTATGCCTAATTTGATCCATTCTTCTACTGCCTGTTCTTTTTACTTTGCCTACAATAAATCAGTAGAGTATTATATTTTCCGATGACAAGGGTAGACAGCGGGATACACACCGTGTAAACAACCTGTAAAAAGAAAAAATAGATCTGGTTATACCGTATACCCCTGCACAGTTGTGTGATTTAATAATTTATTATTAAATAATAATAATAAAATAAAACAAAATCATAATTTAAAATTTACCATTCATAGTTTTGTTAAATGCTGTGGCGACCAAGCATATGAAGTCCAAGAAGGGCACACGTTCAGGAAGAAGATTTTGATGTTCACAGCTTGGGCGCTAAAAAATAAATAAACATTAAACAATGCACTACAGACACTTTTAAAGGGGTAATTCTTGTGCTCACCAGTTAAGTAACTTTCAGAAACAAGTTTCTAAGATTCCATTATAGTGCATGCACAGCATTTCTGCTTCAGCAGGTATAGCTCCTGAAGCTAGGTTAACATACTCATATACATTAGTCAAAATAAAAGACGGAGAGCTCAGACTTTCACCACTTAAGCAAACACTATAAGGTCTGACTGTACATGACTCTTTTTACATGTAGTGATTACTTCCACTGCAGTGGTGTCTCACAAGTTACTATCTTGTGAGCATCAGGAACACCCCAAAAGTGCTTATTAAAGCATTCTGTTGTTGTGTGATATTGAATATACTTACATCTTTATTGCACCGAACCACATGGCTCAAACCCCAAATATCAGCTTCTTTTTCTAAAGTGCAAAACACAATTTCCTGTAATAAAACAAGAAGTCTCAAGTCATCAAACACCAGGTGTAAATAAACTCAATGTTGCTTTTATTATACTGTGACCACAATAACAGGTTTACCTTAAAAGTTGGAAGAGCTATAAGTGAAATATCTTGTGTCAAGTTGTCAAATGTTAACTTTGTGTTTGGAGACAACTGGAATGTTAGAATGACATACTTATAAAAACAATATACAATATACATATATATCAACTACAGAACAAGACTTACAAATTTACTGATGGATTTAAAGTAATCATCACAACCAGCCTTGGTCAGGTGAATACTGCACAAAAACAGCTGGAGGACAAAAAAGAATAAATACTACTTTGATGAATCCTTCTCACACATTTATTATGGGTTTATTTCTCAAAAGGAGATAGTATCTCATGTTGTTCTTAAAAGGCTTGTATGGATTTGGGGGAAAATAAATTGAATCAATAAAAACATACAACAATATGTACTGATGTAATTATGATGTCATAATATAAAACACAATTACTATGATGACTGATTATTTAATTGTTTTTCACAGATTTCCTCATTCCTAAATATTTTACAAAGTACAAAATGTTGATGCAATAGTTGATGCTACATCTAAAATATTGAATCCTAGTATTAGTTTATAAAAATGAGAACCAATGCACTGCTCTCTGCAGATATAAATAACATATTGAGTTTGTCTGCTAAACATTTGCGAGTTCACTTCTCAAAAAGAAACAGGAAGATTTATTGCCATAAAGTTAAGCACTAAAAAATTATGATTTAAAAAAAAAATATTTTCTAACATAAAACTAAAGTGAAAATTGTGAAGTCACATTGTAACCTGAAGAGTTTGTGTATTATAAACTATGTCAAAACCTCGCCTTGACTCAATCTGATGGACCCAATTCTGTGTCTTGACCCATCAATTTTTCTGTTATTAACTTGATATACTAGAAGGAACAATGCTTATCTTTCATGAGATCAATTCCAAACAAATCTTGTCGGTGCAAAAGCAAGTCACTTACACACACAAAATGCAGGCTCCTCCACGATACCATGCTGCTACTGACATCCACACCAAGTCTGCAAATACAAAAGTTATATATGAGCTGAAAACAAATGTATTTATATTATTTCACAATTGAAAAAAAGGAAAAGACATTTCTATAGAAAACTGTGCATAACAATAATTATATATTTTTAAAAAAGACTAAAAACTTGTAACTTTTTATATGTACTATAAAAAAAACATGAGATAAAATAAACAAATAACAAAAATGTTTGCTTGACAGGGTTCCCAAAGAATCCACCAGGCCACTCTCACGACCTGCCGGTCACACGGAGCATGCTGACCTATTTTGGAAGAAACATTTGTGACTTTGATCTGTTTTGGACACTGGTGACATTTTTTCAAGAGCGCTTCTGTGTTGAGAATGTCAATCGTGTCCGTTCTTTTGTTTCCATTAAGCTCTAAACTGGAGCTCTCACACCATGACACAAAGATGGAGCAGAGAGCAGAGACAATAGAACAGTATTATCAACAAATCTAACCAAGTAACAGTTTGGGTGAGTTGATCTACAGTCATCAGTGCTTAAGATGGTAAATGGTTGCATTTATATATAGCTCTTTTCCACCTTTAGTTCTCTCGCTTTACATCAAGGAACCACTCAACCATTCAAACACACATTCATATACCAGTGTACGCAGACACTAGGGATGCAACGATACAGTTTTCCCATGATTCGATACATATCTCTATACATGAGTTACAATACTGATTCAATTTTGAAATAATAACATTATTAAATACATTACAAACAATACATTACAGTACAACTACTGTAAAGTTGTAGGTTATATGTGAAGTGTTTTAGCTCATTTGGTTCAATGATTTACAGCTCAAAATTTTTATTCAGTGAAAATAAGCACAGTGCTTTCTCAGGCATTTTTTATATTTTATAATACAGCTAGTCTACTCTTAATATACACTACTAAGGGAGTTAAACTATCAGACTTTTTTGTACTTTTTTGGTGATAATTTGATGACCTGGGTCTATCAGCGTAAAATAAAAAGTTACTGAAAGATAAAACCCACCTCTGTCCCTATGGAGCTGTTTTCTTGCTGCATCTGAGAAAGACGCTGCAATAACTGTTTTCCTTTCGGACCAAAATAAATTATAACACAGAGCACATGAAGGATATGTATCGACC